CCAAGAATCTCGAAAGAAATATTTTAACTGTATCAACGTTAATTACTCATTGAAATCGTGCGCAGGTGCATCGACCCCTTACAGCACTGCACCGCTGCAGCTGTTGAAATTTTTCGCTCGCTTTAAATGCGTTTATATACATAATTGACAAGTGCGCGTGATTTTGGTAAAAATGCCTCTTTTATCTTCCTATCGTCGCATCGTTGTTTGTTGTGTTATTGATCATGATAATCGATACACACATACAGTCGTTACATTTAAATGTCTATGGTGCACTGTGCAGCAGCAGCATGAGTCACCCGGGGCAGATATTACATACACAAGACGATAGGCTGGCTATATGGACTTCTGGTACAATATATACATAATATGCAACGGGAAACGACGAATCAGCCGTCGTCGCGGTAACTCAATAGCCGAACAATATCGTCGTCGTCGTCGAGCCAGAGCCGTAATATATAATTCAGACGCGAATACAAAAGGCCCAAGTTATATATAACGCGCACACATGACACTTTGTGAATCACGACGAGCTGCTGCTGCTGCTGCTGCTGCTGCTGCTGCTGCTGCTTCGGCTGCTTCATAATAATATAATCTTTACATATGTGTACGTGTGTACGTACGTGTACACCTCGTTCTTTCTTGCATACTTGATCCGATACATGTGTGTACGTACGCGCGCGTCTCTCTCCAGATGTGTTTTTAAGAGCTGCGAGGATCGAGAAGGTATACGCATAATCGAGACGATTTTCGACTGCTGCAGTTCGCGTCAAATATTTACTTATTAAACACGAAATATTTTTTTCAAAAGGCTTCGAGCGAGCGTCCCCCGCGTTCACTTGAATTTTTCTTAATGTACGCTTGCGAATACATCAAGAAACCAAAGTTGGAATAAATTTTAACGCTGGCAGGCAAATATCAATTTTGATATCTTGCCGTTTCATGCGCGCGGTATATTTTGACAATAAAGCGAGATGTTGCATAATCTTGCACAATTCCGCATGACCGACGGAATGATTGGTAGCCGCTGCTGCTGCTGCTGCTGCTGCTGCTGCTTTGACGCGCGAAAGCAGTTACACATACTTGCGCGAAACAGCATCAAAATTCCAAACTTTTCGATAAAATATAACCGTCCGTGGATACGTAAATATTTAAGTATAGTTGGATTATTATCAAATTTCATAAATAACGCGGTACCAGATTGTGTGCTTAAATACAGAATTGTTTGGCATTGACCAATCTTGCATCTTATATCTTGTATTTACGTTGAAATTTATGTAAAAATGATCAAATTTTTTTGTCTGTACGTAGGAGAATGCAAAAATATCGATATTAAGTTTCGGTGCTATTCATTATAGTATATACGATTATTTTTACTCTGCCACTTGCAGATTTATAGATAAACGTTCTCGCCACCTAGTGTAAAAACTTTCACCTATTCATTTTCATGAACTTTGTGCATTGAATATTGTTAGCTCTGTGCAACAAAATTTTGTGCATTGTCTCATACAATTATTTTCAGTTAGCCACTTGCAGTTTTGCACACGAAGGTACTCGCCATCTAGTGGTGGAGTGTCAAAGTGGTGTTAGCGTATTCAAGTTATTCGACAACCAGTGTAAATATTTTGAGAGAATCAAATGTATTTTGAAACATTTTAAAATAAGTCACTTTTTTCATTAGGCCGTTATTAATGTTGAGCAATTCAATCGTAGTTACCTTAATTTCAATGCCTGATCACACCTTTACATTAAATTAAAGGTTTTTTATTTAACAGTATAAATAATTTTCAACTTTATGTTATCTCAGCTTAGATCAGCTCAACTTGATCCGACAATATGATTTTTAACTCGCATCACAACCGGTATAATCGATTTGACAAGTATCAAAGAGCACACAAGACACAACTCGAATACGCTACACACGCAAAACCAAGATTAAGGAAAAAAAAATGATTTTTAGACTATACATAACACACTCGGCGCAGACAGATCAGATGGCTTTAATAATATTATCCGTCGGTGTAATACGTGAATCAATACGCGCAGGGCACGCAGCGGTCTAAAACCGATCGAAACCTGTTTTTGTACGTGTGCACCAACGCAATGTGGTACAACATCGTGCCGATGCTTCGGGCAACGCCGGTGCTCCGTACACAATGCAACTTTCTGCATTATGATTATTAATATCATTATTATTATCGTAAATTTTAAATTCGCTCGATTATTTATTAGTCTCATTTTGCGTTTACGGTAATTAATGAAATTAATAAATATAGATACGGGCCTATATAAATGATCATAATTAAATTACACAAATATAGGTGTATACGGTTGCCGTTGTATTGTTAAGAGTCCATAAGTTGGAATGGAAAGTTTATATAATTGTTCAAAATAATTGACACCTTAAGAGTCATATACAGATGCACACTCTCTAGAGTTGCGCCTGTGCGAGCGTTTGCTTGCGCTGCAGCAGCAGCATACTAAAACTTAAAAGTCGCACACACATACGCATACAAACGTACACAAATACACATACACGCGTGATGGTGAAAACAGGAAATTACACTATACAGAATGGTCGTGTGTGCGAGCTCTATGAGTTACATTTTGTCATTATTTTGCGCTCGCTGCGTTGTATCCAAAGAATCTGTACATTATACACTCGACCGAGAACATCTATGAACAATGTATTACTTTGTTAAAAAAAAAACCCCGATGTTTCTTCGGGTCGTGTACTTTTTTTTGTTGTATCCGCGTCTCGTTACTATTACACGACACCGTTGCATTATAAATACATTCGATATTCGTGTGCAGCAAGTCGCGAATTAAATTAAATTGCAAAATCAGCGCATTATAGGCGGCGCGCAAAGGAGGAAGAGTGTAGAACAGAACGTCGAAAAAATGCTAATACTAAATGGATTTATGTAACGAACCTATCACGAGGAATAATCGAAAGCAAAAAAAAAAAAAAAAACTTAAAAGACGAAGAATCTTTCGACGCTTCTATATCTCTCGTCGTCGCGTTGCGCAACGTATATACCGTGTGCATCGAGTGCATGCAGTACTTGCAGTACATCGTACGGACGCGCGAAATATTTTACGGCATTATTCAAGAGCCACGCGACTTGGGGCATTATACCGATATGTTTCACCTGCGAATCATCATGACTGTACCACTACTATCTACTACCGTATAATATAATAGATCGCCCCGGCGAGAGAGAGAGAGAGAGAGAGACAGAGAGAGGTTAAAGAGAAGGGATCATACACACGACGACGAAGACGACGATGCTCGGCTATAAACGAAGATTGTGCTTGTACAAATGTGCCTCGGTGCAAAAGAGAAAAGAGAGGAGACATCAGCAGAGGTTATATAGCCGAGGTTGCATAGGTACACTACTCTTTTTGCGCGCGCTTACATCTTCATACTTATATACAAAGCGAGTACAAGCTAAAAAGTTCAACTCCGAATGCGCGGGGAGAGACTCTCGTGTTTATTATACGGCCTTTGAAATTTTCATGGGACTTCCAGAGAAAGCAGTCGATAAGGCACGAAGCGCGCAGAGAGATATATCTATAATTATTATAATTAATCGTGATCGGTAGCCCCTCCGCGCCGTCCACGAAAACGCAGTGCGATTGCACGCGCATTTGTGTATATATCTAAGCTCTGTGCACGCATCAGTCGAGAACAATGTCATTATGTACACATTGGAAGAGAGAAAGAGAAGGCATAAATAATCGGCATTAATTCATGCGCATATAAACGCTCGTTTAGATCGTGTGCCTACATATAAAATCGGCCTTTTTCGTAGTCGCGCGGTAATTATCAACGACGAGTACGACGCCGGCTCGGTGCATATGATTGCACGCGCGCGAGGTATTTTTCTCCTGAAAAAGAAATCGGTTGTCACGCTTAGCCACAAAAATCTCATTAAAGCCGCAGGAAGAAAAGAGTCGTCGTCGGCGCTGCTGGAGCGGAGGTCTCGCGTCTGCAGCGTTCTTCCATGTGCCCGTAAGAAAGAAAGAACCGCAAATCAAGCGCAAGCGTACATACGATATATGGTTAACGAGGTTTTGCCTCGTGCACCCGCGCGTATACTAGTGCAGATATGTGACGATATATTTGGTTATTGCATATGGGTACTTTGTTGTATCTTCGAAACGATCGTATCATTCAAAAGTTTCCCTGTGCCAAGCCTGTGCGTGCGTAAATTCATCTTTTGGCTATACACACGCACACCTTGCGAGACAATAGGATTATTTTTTTTTTTTTTACACCAAGACAAATGATGCGACGCGGCTTTAAGACTTGTCGCGCGCGTCTTCATAATGTAAGATATATTATTATTTGCGCGCGCGCGGCACAATGCCGCATTTCGACGTGCGGGTGTAATTTTACGATCGCTGGGTGTTTACACAAGAGCCCAGCTTGCATGCGATGATGCAGCAGCAGCAACGAAGGGATCTACGCTGCGCATCTTACGATACAAGAATTATTCTAATCTGTCGCTTACTTATGTAGAGTTCGAGAGGAGAATCAATTTTTTCGTCCATTGTGCATTTATAATTCGAATGCCTTACCGATCATATATCTATTTTGCCTTGGGTTTAGTACTGCAGCGAAATCGAGAGTTGTTTACAAATTGCGATGAAATGTGACTTTATATTTTAATATAGCATAGCGAATCAGTAGTATAACAAGTTTTTAATGCAGCAGTTCGTACCAGTTTTACGATGGCTTTGATTTTTACGTTTCTGCACGCAGCCGTGAACGCAAATAAAGTTGACTATATATACTTTTGCTTTGACAAAGTCTCGCATTGTCGATAAGATAACACGTTTTTCTTCTCTCCTTTTCCTCTTTGGAACTACAATACAAATAACATACCAAATTCAACCTGAAAGATTTAAAATTTTACGATGGTCTTTGCTCACTTATTTATTTATTTATTTATTTATACTAATAATATGTATTTTTGTCTCTCGCAGAACAAAAACCCATGTCCAGCAGCAGCGTGATCACCCCCTTGCACATAGGCAGCAGCGGCAGCGGCGGCGTCGGCGGCGACGGAGGATCGACCTCGTGTCCCATGGGCATGTTCAAGTGCGCCGAGGGCAAGTGCATACCACAGAGCTGGGTCTGCAATTATCAGCGCGACTGCGAGAACGCCGAGGACGAGTTTCAATCGTGTCGTAAGTACAATATATTATAACTCTTGTATAGTTGCTCGATCGACGAGTGACGATTTAACTAAATTTTTATGTCCGTTGCGCAGCGCCACCCGAATGCGAACCTGGACAGCTGACGTGTGGACAGTACGTGTTCAACAAGACGTACTGCGTGCCACCGTATCAGAGATGCGACATGACCGTGGATTGCGTCGACGGCACGGACGAAGCTGGCTGCAGTGAGTATTCCATTTCGCACCTCTATTACAAAACGCACGCGCCCTATATTATTATCTCGAAATCGATTGATTTTTTTTGCAATCGCAAAAATCGATTAGCTTCTATACCGGTATAAAAAACAATGTATGATACGGGACAATGTGTTGGTGTGAGCGCTCTAAATGTCTATGGGCACGTGTGTGTGTATACGAGCGAGAAAGATATACGCGAAAGAAAACTATCAACGCGCGCGGAGGGACATAAACACCGCGCATACGTGCGGTGCTGCAGTCGCAGAGCTCGAGCCGGAGCGCACACGAGGCCTCGCCTATTTGAAATTCCAACGCTATAGCGCGAAGAAACGTATCCTTTTGCGTTCTCTGTACGTGTCTGTTTGAGTGTGTATACGTGTGTGTGTATGTTAATCACGCGCCACGTATACAGCGCGCGGCTTTGTTTCTTTTCTGCCTTCTTTTAGCCCGAGATCGGTCGAGCGATAAAAAAAAAGTGAAAAAAAAAGGAAAGAAAGAGAGAAAAAAGAAAAGTAATTAGGCGAAAATTAAATTGGTGCCTTCGATCTGTGTGCTTGTATAATAATATACGAATACTACGAGTACGAGTGCTGCGCCGATCTTGGCGGAAAAAATAATCCATATACCGATCTCGGGGTACGATCGTGTTATATTATCGGCATGCCGCACTCGAATGTGGCTTTCGAATTTTTCGGGTGCGTAATATGCACTGCAGCGGCGGCGGCTGCATATTTATGTAGCACGTGCTGGATTTTCTCTCGACTTCTCTCAAACGCGCGTGACCAATTTGATTTTTCATCTTTTAATTTTTTTGTCCGTTCTCGTGTTGATATATACGTTGCAGCGAATGCTGCATGCATGCACATACTTATATACAGTATATAGTACACATAGTATTACATACAGCAGCGGCAGCGGCAACCGAGATCGAAAGGAAAATCCATATTATGCCGGCTGCGCGATTTTTTTTTCGTTTCGTTTGCGGTTTGTAACGAATGTGTGTGTGTGTGTGTGTGAGTATGTCAGTGGTCTATTATACGTGCATTATATACCGCTTTATGTGTATCGCGCACACAGGAAAATGATTATTATTATGATTGTTTTGTAATTCAATGGGATTATGAATATATAATAATACCCGTGTGTGTGTGTATTGCAGCTACTTTAGAATCGATTGAACGATGCTATTTGCGTGAAATATGAATAAATCTTGCCCGCGCGAATTTTCGAATCATAACTCCGGGTATTATTGGCTAATAACGCGCATGATCGTAATATAAAGCCGTTGTATATTTACACCTCGCTCGATTCGTATATGATAATTGCACTTATATAGAAAGCTCACAATTTTCACGCTATACCTCGGTATGCATACTGCACTTGTGCGCGTATATTTCAAAATCGCAGAAAACCAATCGCGTAAAGCGAGTGAGTACGTATGCACCTATTATATGGACGAAGCGAGCATCGATCATTCGCGCGCGCGAGAGTTTTGTGGTCGCGCGAGTACAGCCGCGCGGCGGAGAAAGTAATATACAGTCGTAAGTCGCGCGAGTGTATTTCAGCAGAAACGAGATTTTTACTACCATTGTTTTTTACAAAAAAAATTTTTTTCTAGAGGGTCATGAAAAAAGTCCAAGACCTAGAAGTCGAGGAATTCACAATAGAGCCGTGACAGTTCGACACAATGAAGCGAACGCTCCAAGTCGTGGGTTTCGTGCAAAAAAGGAAAAAACAGGAGGACAAAATATAGTAGACAAATTTCAGTTTTCTCGACTCGAGAGATAATATGGGCCACACACACTTTCTATACGCGTGTATGTTGTCTGCTGTTATACATTTATAAAATACCTTCGTGCAGCTAGTGCAAGAGATCTAGAGAGAAAAAGAAACGAAAAACATGCAGCATATATACAATTATATTATAATAGCCGCGCGCAGCTAGCTAGCAATGCATTTTCCGAATTAAATATTACAAACATGCTGGCTTTTTTATTTTTTCAAGTCACGGCGCGCGTTTCGCAGCAGGTGCTGTGCACTTTGATAGTCTATACGACATACGCATACGCGTGTGTGCGTGTATTAATTGTTTCATTGTGTATAGACGTCGTATCGCGCGCAGAAAGAGGCATTACATTATAACACAAGTGCTGCTGCGATGGGGGTGCATTAGAATTGATGAGAAATGCATTGCGTCGTGTGCACACTGCGCATGTGTGTGTGTCTTGGCGTTTGCGTGTTAGTGTGTCACCCAGCAACGGCGACGAATTTAAGTGCGCGAGCCGCCGCGTGTGCAAATTTTAAATTATCCGTTTAATGAATAATTGCGCATTGTATATCTGTGCGTAGAATGTATAGCCAAATAATATAGGATAGTCGTTATTGGGTTGTCGAGAATTCGGGTCGAGCGCGCGTCTCTTTTTTCCGAAAAGTCGCAAACGAAAATTGAATTCGGAATCTGTGCGCACGCGCTCTTGTGTGTTATGTGTGTATGTGTATAAGAATCAATGTGTGCTGCGAGACCGAGTTACATGCACTCTATAGGTACGCGCGCGCACAAAACGAAAATTAGCCTGTCAATCAAACTCGCGCGCTTATACGCTATGTGCATGCATGCGCTCTGTACACGCTGCAGCTCTAGCCTAAATAATATGTCAATTTTCTCTAGTCTCATCGTTTAGAAATAATAGATTGGCACAGTTCTATATGCCGCAGAGTGCAGCTCTCGACCCTTTGTCCTCTCACTCCACATCGCTCTGCGCATACTACTGGTAGTAGTAGTAGTAGTAGTTGTAGTAGTAAGCTGCATTGCATTTGCGACTCTCGGGTATTCGTGTATCGTATATGCGAGGCTTCAAAATTATATCATTTTTTCCTCTCTCATTCCCTGATAGAAATGCTGGATATTAATAGTGGTCGATAATGAACAAATAATCATTCAATATTTCTTCAAATACATTGCCATCATTTGGCTTGTTTTCTTACAATTAATTTATAAACATTGAACGCATTTGAAATGTTGCAATTAGTTTGATTCAATTGTATCAAAGAACTCGGACTATGTTGTCGACCTCTTTGAATACTATGCGTAGCGCACTTGAAGCCTTGACCGCTAGATGGTGAACACCCGTGTAACTGTAAATCTGCAAGCGACAAAGTCAAAATAATCGTATAAGTCAAAACACGATTTTCGCAAACACATCGTCACTGTATGTCAAAAAACACGATTTCCTCAAACACATCGTCACTAATGCAATTGTAAAAGAGAGAAGCAGCTTCAAGCCCGAATAACTCGAGAAACGATCACGCACGATTAACACGCTTGTTATCGTATACGATGTGTAGAACAATATACAGCCGATTATGCACCGTCTCGGATCGTTAAGGAGATCGAGTCTAGCAGTAGTGGAGTAATTAAAATATTGAAAAAGTATCGCGTATATTATACGCACGTGCTGCGCGTATTATATTAAACGCCTATAACATACGTACCAAGAAGAAAGATCGTAATCGCGAGCATAGATACTAATATAATAACAGCGGCGTGATTTTGCTAATTAAATCCTTTTATGCAACGCGTCAGTGTATGCATGTGTGTGTGTGTGTGTGTGTGTGTGTGTGTCTGTGTGTGCCACATCCATAGTAGTAGTTCTTTATTATTATACACGTGCGTAAACGCTGTAATATAATTTTGCATCTTGATCTCTCTCTCGCGCGCGCGTATATACGAAATAATTGAATTGGAGCTTTGAGCGCGTAATAATGATAATGTTACAATGGAGAAGCTGCGAAACGCGCGCGTGATTTTTCCTCGGAAATTTTCAATCGATTTGAATGACTGCGTGATGCTGCTGCAGCGTCCTTGAAACGAGCGCGCCAATGATGCATATTTTTATACATCGAGTTGAATGCAGCTGCAGATATATAGACTTGTAATTATAGCAGCAGTTCCGATCGGAGATTCGTTGGAAAAAAATGTCCGTATTGTTTTTTTTTCTCTTGAATCCGGACTTTGAATATTTTTTCGTATGCTTATTTCAGCTACCGTGCCGTGGTCGTGTGCGTAGGCGTAGGTATTCGGCATTGAATGACAAAATGCATACATTTGTACGTACGGTATCGGTATGATTATGCAATTCGTGCGCTATTATGCGTTACACGCGATATGCGAAATCTATATAGGAGAGAGAGAGAGAGAGAGAGAAATATGCAATGCCAAGGTTGCGCCGCACGTTTTTCCTATGCACAAACGCAAGTCTCATTCGAAATATCTCACATACTTCAATTTCTCTCTTTCAGATTATCGTAAATGCCTGCCGGACGACTTCAGATGCGGCAACACGACGCCGGAACTGTGTCTGCCGGCGGAGAAACGCTGCGACGGCTACCTGGACTGCAGGAACGGCCGCGACGAGGAGGGCTGTCCGGGCTCCAGGGCGCCCTGCCGTCTCGATCAGTTCAGGTGCAACGTGACGCAGCGCTGCATCGACCAGCAGCTCAGGTGCAATCACAAGGACGACTGCGGCGACAACAGCGACGAGGAGCATTGCAGTACGTTCATCTCTAAATAAATACATATAAAAATCTAACGATAAATGAAGAATCGCTCGAGCTCACCGCGTTTGTTTTTTTTTTTCCTTCTTTCTCGGCTTTACCAACACAGGCTTTCCGGCCTGCACGAGCGATCAGTTCCGTTGCGCCAACTCGCTCTGCATACCGATGAGCTATCACTGCGACGGCTACAAGGACTGCGACGACGGCTCCGACGAGAAGAGCTGCACGTCCATCGTCTGCGCCGGCAAGTACCTCTGCTCGATCGCCGGCAAGCCCACCTGCATCAACAAGTCGCAGCTGTGCGACGGTAAAAAGGACTGCGACAATGGCAGTGACGAGGAGGTCGCCTGCTGTGAGTATTATACGCATATACCTGTAATTTCTCTAAGCCTCGATTAGCGACGATGTTAAACCTTTTTTTTTCTTGCGTTGGCTTAAACAGCGACGCACATGTGCAGCACTCTGGGCTGTCAGTTTCAATGCCAGGCATCGATGACCGGTGGTGTATGCTACTGTCCGGAGGGTCGCGTTTTAGCGAATGACTCGCGAAGCTGCATAGATCGCAACGAGTGCCAGGAATGGGGCTTCTGCGAGCAGCTGTGTACCAACACCGATGGTTCGTACCAGTGCGGCTGTGCGCCCGGTTACGTTCGTTTTAGCAAGAATCGTTGTCGTGCCGTTGACGGTGATCCCCTCGAACTACTGGTAGCGCAAGAGAGGGCCATTTGGAGAGTGTTGCCGTCGAGCAATAGCGACGAGAAGACCCTCATTGCAAATACAACTGGAGCTAGTGGCTTGGACTTTCATCTCGAGAGAAATCTATTATTCTGGAGCGACGTAAAGACGAGAAAGATTCACTCGCAACCGCTGAAAGGTGAGTGAACGATTACAAAAATTACACGATCACTAACGATAATCGGTATTGGATGGTAACCAAAGGCTGGGTGATTCGTGACGGTTTGCTAGGTGGTGTGTTGGCATGGCTCAACTAATTATACGAAACAATAATGATACAAATGGAAATTGTAATATTATTGCAAAGCTAATTAATTAATTCCCTTCCCTTGAACAAATCTAAAAAAAAATCAAATCTGCCACCGCCACTGCGCAATTGACAATTCACTGATCCGCCACCAAACACGTATCTACCACTGCCACCCACTACTACCACCAATCAACCAATCAATCAAACAGCCAACGTACCGCTGAGAATATCTGGCTCTATCGTTGAACAAATTGTAGGCTCGGCCGACCATCTGGATCCGGACATCTCTCAGCCGGGCTCGTGGTCGCCCGTGGCTTTGGCCGTCGATTTCGTCGGTGACAAGCTCTACGTCGTCGATTCGGTCGTTCAGAAGATCGACGTGTTCGAGCTCAGTGGCCGGTATCACGGTATCGTTCTGGGCTCGAACCTCACCAGTCCAGCTGACATCGCGCTCGATCCGTTAGTCGGTCTGATGTTTATCGCCGACAGTAAGCAGGTGCTGAGAGCCAACATGGACGGTACTGGAGCTTTTCCGATTGTGTCGGAGGCTGCCTACAAAGTATCCGGCGTAGCTGCTGATATTATCGCCAAGCGGGTTTATTGGTGCGATCTGTTACTGGATTACATCGAGACTGCGGATTATCTGGGAAGAAATCGAGTTATGATCCTTAGAGGAAATCAGGTGAGCTTTAAAACCTCATTGAATACATGATATTGTTTGATAAGACGCATTTTAATTCGTGAAATTTTAAAGGTACCATCACCGATGCGTCTCACCGTGTTCGAGAACAAAATCTACTGGACCGACGGCTCGAAGCAAGCCGTACTCAGCGTCGAGAAGACACAGAGCGAAAATTCCGTCAAGAGCGTGGCCAAGCTGCGCGACGCCAAGGCCATCAAAGCTTTCCACCAGCTCGTCCAGCCCAAGGTCCCACTGAATCCGTGCGGCACCAACAACGGTGGCTGCCAGCACATGTGCATCGTCACGGCGGTCAACGGCAAGGACGCCGGTCTGGGCTATCGTTGCGCCTGCGACATCGGCTGGAGACTGTCCTCCGATCTGATGAACTGCGTGCCGGTCCAAGAGTTCCTAATGTATTCGCAGCAGCGCTTCATCAAGGGTCGCGTACTCGACCCCGTGACGGAGGGCTTCAGCGACGCCATTTTGCCGGTTGTGTCGAGGCGGGCGAGATTCGTCGGTCTCGATTACGACGCGCACGAGGAGTACATTTACTACAGCGACGTGCTTCAGGATGTCATCTACCGGGTGCATCAGAACGGCACGGGTCGTGAAATCGTTTTGGCCAGTCAGAACGAGGGAGTGGAGGGTCTCGCGGTCGACTGGGCCGCGAAAAATCTCTACTACATCGATTCTCGCAAAGGTACGCTCAACGTGCTGAGCACGCGCAACGTCACTTACAGGCGCACACTGTTGAAAAATCTGAAACGACCGAGAGCAATCGTCATCCATCCGAATCACGGATACATATTCTTCTCCGAGTGGGACAGGCCCGCGAACATCAGTCGAGCTCACGCCGACGGCTCGAACCTCGTCGTCTTCAAGAATCTTACCCTTGGCTGGCCCAACGGCTTGGCCATCGATTTCACCAAGGATAGGCTGTACTGGTGCGACGCTCTGCTGGACCACGTGCAGCACTCGAATCTCGACGGAACGGACGTGAGGAACGTGAACTCGCGACTCATTCGTCACCCGTTCTCCATTGCCATTCACGAGGAATGGATGTACATAACTGACTGGAGAATCGACGCTATCATTCGCATGCACAAGGAAACCGGCGAGCAAGAGACGATTCTCGTGCGCGAACCAGCCACCAACAGGCTGTACGGCGTCAAGGTATTCAGCCGCGACGTGCAGAGCCCCAACAACGAGCATCCGTGCGCCATCAACAATGGCGGCTGCGAGAAGCTCTGCTTCGGAGTGCCCAAAAATAACACTACCACCAACAAATACGGATTCCCCAGACTGACCAGGTTCTGCGGCTGTCCGTACGGAGAAAAGCTGCAAGAGGACGGCAAGACCTGCGTGGAAGATCGCGAGGCTGAACCGCCTCTGCTGGCTTGCCCCAACGCCTGGGACTTCACCTGTGCCAATCAGCGCTGCGTTCCGCAATCGTGGGTCTGCGATGGCGACGACGATTGCTTGGACAACAGTGACGAGATGCAGAACTGCACCAAGCCCACTTGCGGCGCCAACGAGTTCCAGTGCAAAGCTGGAAGATGCATCCCGTTGAGCTTCCGCTGCGACGCCGAAAACGACTGCGGCGATTACAGCGACGAGACCGGCTGCCCGAACATCACCTGCACGGCCAATCAGTTCACCTGCGATAATAATCGTTGCATTCCTGCCAACTGGAAGTGTGACTCGGAAAACGATTGCGGCGACAGCTCGGACGAGGGTGAATTTTGCGCTGCCAAGACCTGCTCGTACTTCCAATTCACTTGTCCGAGATCTGGACACTGTATTCCACAATCGTGGGTGTGCGATGGTGACAACGACTGCTTCGATCAGCAGGATGAGATGGACTGTCCACCAGTTACTTGTCTCAGTACGCAGTTTACTTGTGCCGATCAGAAGATGTGCGTCCTCGAGTCTTACAAGTGCGATGGTATATCGGATTGTAACGATGGGTCTGATGAGGTACAGCAACGAATTTTCATCATATTGCTCGCTCGTTTTGACGTACAAAATAAGGAAACATTTTTTACTTAATTTACAGGTCGGTTGTCCATCTTTAGCAGCAGATCAATGTAATTCAGCCAAACAGTTCCAGTGCGGCGGCACCGGCATATGCATACCCAAATCGTGGTACTGCGACGGAACACCCGATTGTCACGACAAGAGCGACGAACCCGCGAGCTGCGGCAAAGTCGACTGTCAACCGGGCTACTTCAAGTGTCGCAACTCCCATTGCATCTTCAAAGCCTACATCTGCGACGGCAAGGACGATTGCGGCGACGGCTCCGACGAAGACGCCAAGTTGCACGCCTGCGCGCCTCCGCCGTTCAAGTGCGAGTCCCAGCAGTGGCAGTGTCCCAACGTAACCAATCAATGCATCAACATCACTAGCGTTTGCGATGGTCGCGTCGATTGTCCTCACGGTGGCGACGAGGGACCGGGTTGCGATCTCAACTCGTGCTCCTCCACCCATCACTTCGGTCTGTGCTCCAACAACTGCACCCAGACTCCTCTGGGAGCTCTCTGCACTTGTCCATCCGGCGAAGAGCTCAACGACGACGGTTTCACCTGCAAAGACGTGAACGAGTGCGATCCACCGGGTCGCTGCTCGCAGAAATGCGTCAACACCAAGCGAAGCTTCTACTGCGAGTGCGTCGACGGCTACACGCTCGATGCCAATAAACATACTTGCAAGGCCTTCAATCACAGCGCCGCTTTCTTGATCATCAGCAATAGGCACACCATTTTGGTGGCCGATCTGCAGGATCAAGCTCTGGAACGAGTACCCACCAACGTGGAGAACGTCGTGGCTACGGCGAGTAACATGCACACCGGTACGATCTTCTGGTCGGACATGAAGCTGAAAAAGATATCTCGATTGGACAAGGGCAGCTACCCGCAAGACGTTATATCGAGCGGTTTGGATCTGGTCGAAGGCTTGGCTTACGATTGGATCGGCGGTAATCTTTACTGGCTCGATTCCAAATTGAACACCATCGAGGTAGCCAAAGAGACCGGACAGAATCGCATGGTGCTGGTCAAAGAAAATATCACGCAACCGCGCGGAATGTGTCTGGATCCGAGCCCAGGTGCTCGCTGGCTGTTCTGGACCGACTGGGGAGAGAATCCTCGGGTCGAGCGCGTCGGCATGGACGGCACCGCTCGTCAAGCCATCATCACCACCAAAATCTACTGGCCGAACGGTCTGGCTTTGGACATCGCTACTAAACGCGTGTACTTCGCCGACAGTAAGCTCGATTTCATCGACACTTGTCTGTACGACGGCACGGAACGTCTGCAAGTACTCGCCAGCTCGCATTACCTGTTACATCCGCACTCGCTGACGCTGTTCGAGGACACGATGTATTGGACCGACAGGCAGCTCAATCGTGTCCTGTCCGCTCACAAATTCAAGGGATCGAATCAAACCGTGGTGTCGCACGTTATCTCGCAACCTCTGAGTATACACGTTCATCATCCAGTGCTGCAACCGATTACTCCTAATCCCTGTGCCAATGCCTCTTGCACGCATCTTTGCCTGCTGAGTCCCACCGCGCCAAAAGGATTCACGTGCAAGTGTCTGGTTGGCTTCAAAGAATTGGCCGACGGCAGATGCGTCGAAGAGGATACACCCTTCCTGATGGTACTGCGAGGCTCGCAAATCGTCGACGTATCCTTGACTCCTGGCGACGTGAAGAGCGGCTACATCACACCGGTCGTCGGTATTGAGAACGGCCGCTTCATCGATTACGATCGCAGAGATCACATGGTCTACTGGCTTCAGGACAAGGACGGCGACAAGGAGAGCGAAAACGCTACCTTGTACACTATGCCCTACACCGGTGGCAATCGCACCGAGTTCCCGAATCCTCAAGGCGATTCTGGAATTGTCGGTTCGCCCTCGACCTTCGCCATCGACTGGCTCGGCCGTAACGTCTTCATCGGCAACAAGGTCGCCTCGAACATCGAAGTCATCAAGATCGACGGCGATTTGAAGCATCGAACGATCGTACTGGCCAACGACGGCAACAAGACTTCGGTCGCCAAGCCCAAAGCCATGTGCGTCGATCCTCTCGAGGGTCACGTGTTCTGGATCGACGAGGGTGGCTTCGGCGTACCCATCAAAATCGGCCGAGTCAACATGGACGGCTCGAATCCACTGATACTCGTGGATCAGGAGCAATGGCTCGAATCACTGACCATCGACATCCCGAACAAGATGCTCTACTTCAGTACTCAGCATCCGGGTTACGTGAAAGCCATGAACACCGACGGCACGGAAGTTCGCAACATACTCTCGAGCGTCAACAACATCGCCGTGCCCAAAGCCTTAGCCGTTCACGGACAGAGACTTTACTACCTCGACCCTGCGTACGAGAAAATCGAACGAGTCGACTTGCCGGACGGTGACAATCCTACCATGATCGTTCACAATGACGCCGATCTCAAGACCATGACCATCTACAAGAAACGCCTCACCGACACTTCCCACCCGTGTCTCACCAACAACGGCGGCTGCGAGCAGATCTGTCTGCCCTCCGCGGGTCGCACTCGCATCTGCGCCTGCGGCATGCAGTATCGCAAGGTCGGCGAGACCAGCTGCCAGTCTTACAACACTTTCCTCGTGGTGACGCAGCTCGATGTCGCCCGCGGCTACAGCTTCAAGGACGCCAAGGAGGCCATGGTACCGATTGCCGGGCCCGGTCATCACATCCTGCACGTCGACGTGCACTACGAACAGAACTGGATCTACTGGGTGGAGTTCAATCGCGGCACCTGGAACGGAATATTCCGTATCAGGCCCAATGGTACGGATCTCCAGCACGTCATCAAGTCGGGGATCGGTTCCAATGGTATTCGTGGACTCACCATCGATTGGATCGCCGGAAACATGTACTTCTCCAATGTGTTCCCGCACGACAATTACGTGGAGGTGTGCCGACTGGACGGCAGTCATCGGAAAGTGATCGTCAAGACGACCATCGACACGCCACGAGAGCTGGCGGTCAATCCGATTCGCCGAATGCTGTACTGGATCGATTATGGCCAGTATCCTCGTATCGGTAAGGCTTTCCTCGACGGTAGCAGCTGGAAACCGATCGTGACGTCTGGTATCAGTACACCGCGCGATTTGACCATCGATTTCTTGACCCACGACGTTTACTGGGTCGATTCGAAGCTCGACACCATTCAGCGAGTGTCGTATTCCGGCAGCAATCGACAGGTCATCCGGCGTAATCTGCCCAATCCGATGGGCGTCGTTGTTTTCGGCAATGACGTCTACTGGGTAGATCGTAATCTCGCCAGTGTCTTCTATGCTAGCAAACAGCCGGGCAACATCACTCTGCCTACACCACTCCGCACAAACCTGCCGAAATTGCGGGACATCGCCATTTTCGATAAGAGCGCTCAGCCCCAAGACGACAGCAATCCTTGCGGCAGACCAGCCAATGGCGACTGTGGTCAACTTTGCTTTGCCTTCCCTAGAGACAATAATGTACAAATGAGATGCGACTGCGCCATTGGCAAATTAGCCAGCGATCAGAAGAGCTGCGAGAACGTCGACGAGTATCTCGTCTTCGCCACTCGTACCGAGATCAGAGCCATCAATCTCGATCCGCGCGACACCTCGCTGCCCTTCCAACCGATTGGTAATCTGACTAACGTCGTCGGTGTCGATTTCGACTACGACGACAGGCGCATCTTCTTCACGCAAATCCGACCATGGGCCAAGATCGCTTGGTTGGATTCGGCCAACCCTGCAGTTAGTGCTATCACCACTATCCTAGGTAAAAATATCAACCCGGAGGGGATCTCGTACGACTGGACGCAGAAAAAGATCTACTGGACCGATTCGTCCAACAACAGCATCTACGCTATGAACACGGACGGCACGGAACTGGTCATGATCGCGAGAGTCGACAGGCCCAGAGCCATCGTCGTCGATCCCTGCAACGGTTCGCTCTACTTCACCGACTGGGGACGTTTCAGTACCTCTGGTAAAATTTATCGCACCACCATGGCCGGCTCGTTGAAGAAGGCCATCATTGAGAAAGATCTGGCTCAGCCGAGTGGTTTGGCTATCGATTACGAGGAACGCATGCTTTACTGGACAGACGCCATCAAGGAAAAGATCGAGAGATCCGATCTGGACGGTAACAATCGCGAAGTGTTGATTCCAGCTTCGATTTATCCGTTCGCGATTACGGTCTTCCGTGAGCATATCTACTGGACGGATTTGCAGCTGCGCGGCGTGTACAGAGCTGACAAGTACACCGGTGGCGACCGTACCGAATTAGGTAAATACTATAACTCATTGTTGATCATTACGTAACAAAAGTAAAATTATTTTTCATGACATATCATTGTTTCTTTAATTTTAGTCAAACGATTGGAAGACTCACCGCGTGATCTACACATCTACTCGCCGGGACGTCAGCAGTGCAAGGTCAACGCTTGCAACATCAAGAACGGCGGCTGCGATCAGTCCTGCCATCCGGGCCCCAACGGCACGGTCGAGTGCAAGTGCGACGACAACAGCCGCCTGGTCAACGACAATCGCATGTGCGTCAGTAAAAACGTCACCTGCGACTCGAGCAAGTTCGCCTGTCGCAACGGCAAGTGCATCTCGAAGATGTGGGCCTGCGACGGCGACAGCGACTGCGGCGACGGCTCCGACGAGGACGTCAATTACTGCGCCTACCACTCGTGCAGTCCCAACGAGTTCCGTTGCAACAACGGACGCTGCATCTTCAAGTCGTGGAAGTGCGATCACGAGGACGATTGTCAAGACGGCTCGGACGAGGAGGGTTGCACCTATCGTCCCTGCGCACCTGGAGAATTCACTTGCGCCAATCAGCGTTGCATTCCGATGGCGCAAGTCTGCAACGGAGTGAACGACTGCAAGGACAACGTGACGAGCGACGAGACTCACGAGCGATGCCCGAAGAACACCACCTGTCCACCGAATCACTTGAAGTGTGAAAATACCAATATCTGCGTCGAGCCCTACTGGCTCTGTGACGGTGACAACGACTGCGGCGATAACAGTGACGAGAATCCTCTGCACTGCTCTCAGAGAACTTGCCCGCAGAACAGCTTCCGTTGCCCGAATCATCGTTGCATACCGGCGACCTGGTACTGCGACGGCGACGACGATTGTCTGGACGGCAGCGATGAACCACCAGAGTATTGCCATTCCGAGGGTAGAACTTGCTTCGGCGATCTGTTCACTTGCGATAACGGTCATTGTATACCTAGAATTTATATATGCGATGGAGACAATGATTGTTTGGATAATTCCGATGAAGACGATCGACATCAATGCAGTAAGTATTATTACTTGAACCATTGAAAATCAAATATTTCTTTCGATTATGTGATCGATAATTTTCTTTCTTGTAGACGATCGAACGTGCGATCCCGAAACCGAATTCACCTGTACGGCCAACAAAGCCTGGAATCGCGCCCAGTGTATACCGCAAAAATGGCTCTGCGACGGCGATCCCGATTGCGTCGACGGCGCCGACGAGAACGTGACGATGCACCGTTGCCCCGAGCCGGTACCCTGCTCGGAGAATCAATTCACCTGCAACAACGGACGTTGTCTCAACCGTAACTGGCTCTGCGATCACGACAACGACTGCGGCGACGGCTCGGACGAGGGCAAATTCTGTAATTCGAGGTACAAGGAGTGCCAGGAGAACGAGTTCACGTGTCAGAACTTCAAGTGTATCAGAAAACAATTCAGATGCGATGGCCAAGACGACTGTGGCGATCATTCGGACGAAGTCGGTTGTGGTAAGTTTAACTGTAATTAAAATTTGTATATAAATATAAAATTCCAATAGACGATTATGATTAAATATTCATTTCTTTTGTTATACAGCAACAAAGAGTAAAAACGCAACGTGTCCGAACGCAAACGAATTCCGCTGCACATCGGGTCAGTGTATCAACGCGCAACTCGTGTGTAACAAAGAGATCGACTGTAACGACGGTAGCGACGAGCCAGCTCACTGTAACGTCGACGAGTGCGCACGAATCGAGCTCAATCAGTGCGGTCATCGGTGCGTCGACACCCCGACGTCGTATTACTGCGAGTGTAATCCCGGTTATAAACTGCTGGAAGATGGCAAAGCTTGCGCTGATATCGACGAGTGCGCCGAAACGCCCTGGGTGTGCAGTCAACAGTGTGAGAACACACCCGGCAGGTATTATTGTAAATGTAACGAAAAATGGTACGATCGAGCACCGGATGAGCACACTTGCAAGCGTCGCGACAACATTCAGCCTTGGCTGGTATTCACCAACAAGTATTACGTGAGGAACATGTCGATTGACGCCACGCAGTACAATATCGTTCATCAAGACCTCATCAACGTCGTGGCTCTGGACGCCGATTACCAGACGCAGACTCTGTACTTCTGCGACGTCACGGCTAAAGCTATTTACCGAGCGCCGATAGCCGGAGGAGAAAAGGAAGCCATTATCAGACACAACAGTCTCGGACTCGAAGGCATATCGATCGATTGGGTAGGACGCAAGCTCTACTGGCTCGATCGACACGCCAAGCATCTCGACGTCTCCGAGCTGGACGGAACGAATCGTAAAACGCTGCAGAGCGGCATTGCCGATCCCAGAGCTATCGTCGTACATCCGGGCACGGGTCATCTGTACTTCACTTCCTGGCACCTGCAGGCTTACATCGCCAAAATGGGCATGGACGGCAGCAATCTCACGCGCATCTTGACCTGGAACGACGACATCGCCTGGCCGAACGCCTTGACCATCGATTACATCACCGATCGTCTGTTCTTCGCCGACGCTCATCTCGATTACATAGCGTTTACCGATCTCGAGGGTCACAACAGACGCATCGTGCTGTCGGGTGCCTCGGTACCTCACGTCTTTGCCATTACTGCCTTCGACGATCACATTTACTGGACCGATTGGAACTTGAAGACCATCATGAGGGCGGAAAAGTTCTCCGGAGCTAATCCGACTATTTTACGAAATACCACGCACAGACCCTACGACATTCACGCTTATCATCCGCTAAGACAACTACCTTACCCCAATCCATGTGCCAATAACAACGGAGGCTGCTCTCATCTCTGTCTCATTGCGCCACCTGCCAGTAGTTATCTGTTGGAAGGCTACGGACAACCGGGTATCACGAGCTACAAATGCGCTTGTCCAAATCAGTTTGTCCTAGGCCCTGACAAGAAGACTTGCATGGCTAACTGCACTAATGGTCAACACAGATGCGGTCCGCCCGATGAGAAATGCATACCTTGGTTCTGGAAGTAAGTTATCGTCACAATTACGTCTAAAGTTTTTAATAAAGTAATAATTATTAATTTTAAATCTTAATCTTTCCAGATGCGATGGGGAAAAAGATTGCAGAGATGGTTCCGATGAACTTGGAAACTGCTCGTCCACTAGAGTCTGCCGTCCCGGAGTATTCCAATGCGCAAATAAGAACTGCGTACCAACCATCACCGTCTGCGACGGTACGGACGATTGCGGAGATAAATCCGACGAAGCCAACTGTGCCCTGGAATGTCCAGAGCTCGAATTCAAATGCAAGAGCACTGGCAGATGTATCCACGATTCTTGGGTTTGCGATAACGACGCCGATTGCAAGGACGGCAGCGACGAAGATCCTGCCATGTGCCGTAAGTACAGTTCTCTACCTTCATTGCCTTTATCGATGAATATTCAGAAAATGTATATAAACGACAAAATTTATTCAATCTACAGATAACCGAACGTGCGATCCCGAAACCGAGTTCGCTTGCAAGAACGGCAAGTGCATACCGAAGTTGTGGCAGTGCGACTTCGACAACGACTGCGGCGACGACAGCGACGAGCCGGCCTTCATGTGTCGCCAGCGCAACTGCACCACCGGCTGGCAACGCTGCCCAGGCCACGCCAACTATCGCTGCATACCCAAGTGGCTGTTCTGCGACGGCCGCGACGACTGCCGCGACAACTCGGACGAACGCCCCGAGGCTTGTCCTAAGTGCGATCCCACGACCGAGTTCAAATGTGCCAATAATCGCTGCATACCCAAGCAGTGGATGTGCGACTTCGCCGACGACTGCGGCGATGGTTCGGACGAGGCCAAGGCCACCTGCTCCGGCAAATATCGAGAGTGCACGGAGAGCGAGTTCAAGTGCGGAAACGGCAAGTGTATAGCGTCGAGATGGCGATGCGACAACGAGGACGACTGCGGCGATAAGTCCGACGAGGCCAATTGCCAGGAGCACAAGTGCAAGAACGACACGTTCCAGTGTACGACGGGACACTGTATACCCGCTGCTCTGCGTTGCGACGGTGCTCGGGACTGTCAAGACATGAGCGACGAGATGGGTTGCATGCCCAAGTATCCGGGCGGACGTTTCTGTCCGCAGTCGCAATTCCAGTGCGACAACAATCTGTGCGTCTCGCTGACCGATCGTTGCGATGGAAGCGACGACTGTGGCGACGGTTCGGATGAGAATCCCACGATGTGTGCCACATTCAGTTGCGACACGACAAGACGCTTCCAGTGTGACAATCATCGCTGCATACCCAAGTACCAGCTGTGCGACGGAATCGACAATTGCGGCGACGGCAGCGACGAGAACAACATGACGCTGTGCTCGCGCAAGATCATACCCTGCAATCCGATCACCGAGTACCAGTGCGCCAACAAGAACTGCATCGATCGCCTGAAGATCTGCGACTTCGCCAACGACTGCGGAGATTATTCCGACGAGTTGGGCTGTCATCACAACAAGGCCTGTAACGAGGCCAACAAGGGTGGCTGCTCGCACTTCTGTCAGAACGTCACAGACTCGGGCAGTATCACGTCGGATGTCGCACCCCGAGGTTACATCTGCGCCTGCTATCCCGGCTACATCATTTCTCAGGACAATCATAAGCATTGCGAGGACATCAACGAGTGCCTCAAGGGTCAGCACTTCTGCTCGCAGTTGTGTACCAACATGAACGGCTCGTACGCCTGCACGTGTCGCGACGGCTTCAAACTCGCCGACAATTTGAGCGGAGTCTGCAAGGCCGAGGACGACAAGACCATGGTTTTGTTCGGTGCCGCTCAAGAAATTCGTGGCTTGAGACTGGCCAAGAACGAGGCGATTGACATAGTTATAAACGAGAAACGCATCAACGCGCTGGACTTCGATCCTAAGATGGACTACGTCTATTGGATCGACGGACATGATCACACCATCAGACGTTCGGCGATGGTCGACGGTAAACTCGTCTCGATCGGTTTTGCGCAAGACATCGAATCCGATGGTAATTATAATTCTTCTTTTTTTATACATACAAATTACAATTTCAATAATTCATTGGCGTGATTTATATTATTTTTAGAAAACTCCGTACCAACAAGTTTGTCGCTGGATTGGGTGTCCAACAATCTTTACTGGACTGAAATCGAGGATCCAATGAGCGAAATGACGCGTCGTGGACGTGTCGTGGTTGCCAAAGCCGACGGACGCTACAAACGCAGCTTGATCACGCAAAATCTCGAGCTGCCGACGGCGGTAGTCGCGGATCCACAACTGGGCAGAATATACTGGGCCGATGGTGGTAGCCAACCCAAGATCGAATCGGTTTGGATGGACGGCAGCAGGCGCAAGGCCGTGGTCATCAGCAGGCTGGGTAAACCGAGCGCTCTAGCGATCGATCATGGCATGGACCACACGCTATACTGGACTGACATCAAGCTCAATACCATCGAGTCCATACAAAAGGACGGCACCAACAGAAAGATCATCATCACCGGTGAACATTTGAGGCATCCGGTGTCACTTGACGTTTTCGAGAGCTATGTCTACTGGATGACGCGCGCAGAGGAGGTCTTCAGACAAGACAAATTCGGCCGAGGAGTTCCTCAAAGTCTGGCGCGAGATATCGGCACTCCAGGCGGCGTTAAGGTTTACCATCATCTTAGATACAATACCACGCTGCGCGATCCATGCCACTCCGTGAGTTGCTCGCATCTCTGTGTTGCCGTACCAAGAGGACATCGTTGCCTGTGTCCGGATCGGTCCGGTTACAGTGGACCGGCGCCACTTACGGGCAACGACGTCGTTTGCGATGCTACCATCGAACGAGAAAAACCTGCGCCCAAGGTGAGTTGCCGAATGGTTTATTTTTCAAAAGTCTCGCTCAGATTTCATCGTCTAATATTCTATTTTTATTTATAATTCAGGTCTGCCAATGCAAAAATGGAGGCTTCTGTATAGAGGCCGAGGGAGGAAAATTGACCTGCGTCTGCCCCGAGGATTATCGCGGTGACACGTGCGAGATCGGCTTCGCTTCGTCGAGGTCAGGTAGCGCGGCGGCTTCGATCATCGTGCCAATAATCGTATCGATTTTGGTTCTGCTTGCTGCAGCGGCTGTATTTATTATACTCAAGAAGAGACCATTGTAAGTGAAACACTAAAACTATAATAAAATGAAGTAACGATCCTGGAAATTAAATGGATTTTCTTAAAAAATTTTACAGTGGAAAACCTGGACTGGGCAGTTTGACCGGTGCTCAAAGTGTATCTTTCCGGCAAGGCAGCAATGTCGAGTTTGGCGCGTCAACGGATCGAATGGTATGAATGATTTTTCTTCAAGAAATTCTCAAACTCTCATTAATCAAAAGGCTATACAAATCTGCTATCCCGTATTTTTTCAGGAACCACTTGACGTCGAATACAACATGGGCGAAGTAAGCAATAAAAATCGAGATTTCAGCAATCCAATGTACGATGCTGTGAACATGGAAACGAGTACGACGAACGGTGGCACCGGGCCTGGAATTTATGAGGTACCAGCCGAAATGAAACCATCGAGTATGCAGCACAAGGAGCCACCGCAGCTGCACTTGAAAAGGCGCGAGCTCGATCCCACTCCAATAGATTCTGGCAAAGATACTCAACAGCTCGTTGAAGAAGACAAATCCGAATCGTAGAGACCTATCCCCTTTAATTGTGTATATAATTTTAGAGAGAAGTTGAGAGATTCCCGATGTACAGTTCGAGATAATTAATTTTCTTTTTTTTTTTATTCGTGTTAAGGCAATTTTTATGAACTTTTTTTTTTATCATCCGGTGCTGTTGCTACTACTACATACTTTTGATATGAGTAAATCGCACGGGATTGGATAATCGTGCAATATTTCATCTCGTTTATTTTGAGAGATGTGTGTTACATTTGCATCCATTGCTTTTTTATTTGATCAGGTACCAAATTTTATAATATGACATCACTGGCTATATTTCACTAGTATACGAAATTAGAGATCAACAAACATTTTACTAAAGTTTTTTCAATAGTTCCAAAATATTTTAAACTTCAATAATAAGAGAATCAAAAAGCAGTAGATGTAATACAATTGTGTCATGTTTTATTGAACGAGATGAAGAATTTTACCATAGTCTTTGTCATGTCTCCTTTATATAAGAGATTTGATTTGTGTAAGTCTTGTAAATATGATTGTCACGAAGTGTATTTTTAAAATCCATTATTTATTCATGTAATTCGCTGTATCATAAAATATAATTATACTAAATTTATAATTGACGCGTTACTTCGCGGTCAAATAAGAATCCTTTGAAAAAAGCAAGCAATTACAGTAATTAGCAATAGACGACGTATTTTTGTATAGGTATACATAAACTGTGTGCAAGAGTTATAAAGAAAATCATATGAGATATTTTATGAATTTATAGCGTGAAATGAAATTGTAATCTTATAAAAATATTGTTAGGGTTAACTAATTTTAATCATAGAGACGAATTTATATTAAAAAAAAAAGCGAAGCAATTGTTTGAATCCGCACGTTAAACATAATTTTTTTTTCTATATGATGGTGAAAGAACAGATGAAAATGTTACACGAACTAAAACAAATCTTCGTCAATTCCGAGAAGCTTTATACATTTTTTCATTCATTTTATTATTATTATAATCGTAAATTATTATCATAAATGTTATCACTTACTATTAATATTTATTGCAATGTTGTTGTACATTAAAAAAAAAAAAAAGAATTATATTGTAATCCGAAAACGACGCCTTCACCTGCCTGAAAATTATACTTGTAAAGTGCAACACCACAATATGAAGATGTTAATCGAGCCGAGAGATGCATGAGAGAGAATTTCTGCGTTTAGGTCGATCGGAGGGGGGCTCAATAGCACCGACGGCCTATTCTCATTAATTGACTTTTTATTCTCTCGCACCAATGATGCAATGTATTTTTTGTAATAATGATTGATATTTGCGCGATGTACGCGTCGATGCGCTTGAGGTGCGTTTAAAACGATAACGAATAAGAGTCTTATAAATAAATTTTTATTATCATACGAAATGTCTTTTAATTAGTTACTACCTATAATCAAAGTTATGTGAAAACTATTTTATAACAAAAAAGCATGTTATTTAGTCAAATTCTGCTGACAGCTTTTGTGAAGTTTCCAACGCGCAATTCAAAGTCATCGGATCATTTTGATAAACGAAAACATTTAACTAAAATAAATAACGTAATATTTTCTCATTTTGAAATTAAAATTTCTCGCGATAACAGCTTTGATTGAACATCTTAAAAGGTTTTTGAAATAACTCGGCTCTAAATGATTATATAAAAAACCAGTATAAAAATCTTTATTACTCTTACAAAATACCTTACTATTTACAGTCAATACTCTACACACATCTAATAATCAACTTTCTATCACACTCCAGGTGTCTTTTTCCTGATGGTAAAACGGAAGATTTTTTAAGCTCGCAATAGCTTCGTTAGCTGCCTGCAATGAAACAAATTCATGTACCTCAGAATATATTTTCACGATAAAAAGTATAACTTTTGTGATTGTTCTTACTTCGCGAGCGGAATCATCGGGATCGTGGAGTAAATCCTGCATCGCCCCACGCAGACCATTGCCCCAGATTCGCTGCAGAGTCGTGCGATTGGACTTTCCCAGAAGCGACAGGAAAATGCAAGCTCGAGTGCGAAGCTTGACTTGCCGGTGCATCAAGAGCTTCGTGAACAGAGATATGGTATCGTCTGACGAATAAAAAAGAAATCACGATGAATCTTTATCGAATCGTTTAAAAAATGAATTTTGTAGCTGTTTACCCGTTGATCTGTTGCCTAAAATAAGTATATCCAGTAGAGCCGAGTTACCGGTATCCGAGCGCAAAATCTCGTTCATTACCGCGAGCAGATCGGCGACGACGCGTGGCTTGCGTTTCTCCAATCCCAGTAACTGTTGCAGCAGCTCCGTGGCGTCTTGCACGACCCATACGGCGTCGCAGAACTGTCTCAAAAACGCCTGCTTGTTGTCCTTGATGTGCGCCAGCCGGCACACGACCAGCATCGCGCTCTCCAAAGCCTGCAGTTCCTCGTTCGACAAGCTCAAGTTAGAGCGCCACTTGTTGTTGCAGGTCGAGGTCGAGGCGTCGCTCTCGGGATACTTTTCCGTCATCAACAACTTGGTGGCATAGAGCAAATTCGGCACCAGCTTCGTGTCCAAATAGACCTGAAGAATCGTCTCCAGATCGTCCTCGCTCACGCCCTCGGCGACGAAGGCCAGCGCCGCCAGGCAAGCCACGTACTCGAGCACGCAGCAGCTGGCCAGGGGATTTCTCAGCGGCGCCACGAACACCGACATGCAGTTCTCCTGTATCAGCGAGGTGATCTCGCCCTCCATCACCTCCTCCATGGTCTTCTGCAGGAAGACGGCCCACTCCTGGTTCTCGATCGGCTGGACGATGTCGCGGGGCGCCCAGTCGGCGCCGAGTCGAGCGAGACGCTCCGCGAGGTCGCGCGTGTTGTTCTGCGGCGGCGCGTCGAGCGATCGATCCTTGGCCAGCTGCGGGCCGATCGAGCTGGCTACGGCACCGTCCATGCAATTGGCGTCGTGCTGCTGCTGCTGCTGCTGCTGCTGATGTAGTTTTCCTTTCTGCGAAACGTATTGTCTGCACATTATGAGATTAACGAAATCTTCTTTTCGAAGATGTGGAATATGAATTTCACTCACGGAGATCGGTAGCATGATGTGTTCGTCGCGTTGATCCGACTGGTTTTGCGGTAGGCTGCTGAGGTGTCTTGAGATGCGGATGCTCAAATTTTGCAGAACCTGGTCACAGTTGGCGATATTTTCAGCCTCGGAGCCGCTGTTGGTCTCGCTGCGCCTCAGAACCTGCGACTGCAGTTTCTTTATTTGCTTCTCGAGCATCTTTCGTAGATACGATGGTTCAAAGCTAAAAATATTTAAATATAGAGCAATGTGTTTTTATTGTAATTTTAACACGAGGAATAAATTTTATCGTCAACTAACTTGGTCTGATTGTTGGATCTCACGAGCGAGTTCTGAACGTTTTGTGGTTTACTTTTAGCGGAACTGGTCGTCGGGAGAGGCATCGTCGGTGATTCCGGCGTGTAGTGACTGGTCGCGGAAAAAATCCAATTTTTCACGAACGAGTGGCTCAGCAGTTGAGGCCAGGAAAATCTTTCCATGGGATTTTTTCGCAAGAGACCCTGGTCAGAAAGATCTCACAGCATTATAGTAGCTATATCTTTACGATAATATGTAGAGTAGAGTGTTCTTAAATAATTTTTAATTTTTCTTTCTCCTCTCAACTACAACCATTTTTTTACTCATTTTCTCGACAATATATTTCACGAAGTGTATTAAATTAATGTTATAAATGCTTCGATATAGTTTCGAAACAAACAGTGACCGGCCAAACCGACCAAGTCCGTCTCAACGAAATTCTCAACGCGATATCGAATCAACTTTGGTTTAAAAATGATGCAATATGATATTAAAACGTTGTATGTACAATTCTCGCGTCATCGGATGCTGCCAGAGCACTGCGACCGTTAGGGCACTTGACGCAGCAGAAATGTGCGATGTTCGAGATATTGAGTATTTGACGGCGATTTCCTTGGTGAAAATGGAAAATTTCGGAAAATCTGATATTGCCATCAGAAATCTGAGGAAAATTCCTATGGAATCCACTAGTTAGTTTTTTTTCAGGTGAGTTTTGATGGTTATACAGCGTCTTAGAAATTGAGCATGTGGACTTGGCCGCAAGACGTTTCCCGGTCAAACCGGCAAATCCACTTTTTTCGCTTCGCATCTACTTTATCAATTTGATAGTTACATGAGCTGAAAGATACATCATAGTAAGTTAAAATATCACGAATACAGAGTTATAGTCGTTCGTTAGCTACGCACTCATACGCAACTTCAAACACGGTTTTGTCGAAAACACGAAAAATGGAATTGGTCGGTTCTCCCTTTCCTTATAGCAATATTTTGACATTGCCACTTGCAGATTTACACATAGAGGTACTCGCCATCTAGTAGTGAAAGTTTAAAATGGCAGTATCGTATTTAATGTGATTGAAAACTGTTCCAAATTTTTCGAAACAAACTAATAGTCATTTTCAGGTCTCTTGAAATGCGCTCAATATTTTCAACGCAAATGTAATAGGAAAGTCACCAAACAACGAACCAATTAATGGTAAGTTGAATGTAAAACATTTTAAATGGTCATAATTTTTTATTCTTTAACCCAGAAAAGTGGCAATCCGATGAAGAAATTACCACAGTCAATCTGCTCACCTGCAGAAAACTTCGACACTGAGGACTGACGTTTTCCGGCCACTTGATGTCCTCGTGCTTGATCAGGTGAACCAGTTTACGCATCGACGTCGTTTGAAAGGGCGGAGCTCCGCAGACTAGCTCGTAAACTATACAGCCCAGAGACCTGTAAAAAAGTAGCAATTAACATTATTTTCAGTTCTTGTCTTTGAAAATACATATACCGATAGAATTCGACGAACGATAATTACCATATATCTACGGTATGGTCGTAGGGGAGTTCGTCGATGAGCTCTGGGGCCATGTAGAGCGGAGTGCCCTTGACCGAGGTCAGTACGTGCGTGTCGACGTTCATCATGCGCGCGAAGCCGAAATCGCAGAGCTTCGCCACGCCGTCGATGCTCATCAGGACGTTCTGAGGCTTCATGTCTCTGCGGGGGTCAATGAAATAATTATAAACGGCAGCCGTGATAATTAGATTTGTGAATTTTCTTTTACTTGCCTATGAACGATTCGATTCGAGTGAAGATAATTCAGGGCCGAGACCATGTCGCCGGCTATGGCTTGCGAGTACACCTCCGAGAGACGTCCGTTGGTCTTGAGGATGACGTACAGCTCCCGCTCCACGTACTCCGTAACTATGACCATCTGTAATTAGTTAATGTTTATTTAGTGCAATTTCATAAACATTTTTTACGCTTTGATCGTTTACCTGTTTGTCTGTCTCGAAGGAATCAAACATTTGTATGATGTTCGGGTGATGCATGCTGCGATGAATTTCGCACTCCCTTCGAAGGCACGTGAGTTCCTTTTCCGTGCGGCCTTTCTGTCAATTTGCAATTCAAGAGAAAAAATGATTAGCTTGAAAAATACGTAGGATCATTTTCATTGCCAAAATATTCTGTATATTATGCACGTGTTCAAAACTCATAGCGATCGTACGTATCGGATGCGAAGCGACAATATTTCGTGAGAGATAGACAGAGACAGAAACACAACGCCCCCACCACGAGAGTCTCTGCGTTGACAGTTAATATCGAATTGTTTACATAATGTGTCGATCGTTTCGTATTTGTTCCTTGGTGCTCCGTACAAAATCACAAATGCTCATCCAGACTGTAGAGTTAGTTATCAGAAAAAATTTGCAGATTGAAGAAACAAAAATGAAGTTATATCGAATTTTCACTTACTTTACGAGTGATCTTGTATGCCACAGGTGTGCCGTTGTCCTTCCTGATGGCCATGTACACCTGCCCGAAGGATCCCTCGCCGATTATCCTCACCAGATCGTAGTTCTCCATGATGGAAATTGCAATGTTTACAATCTCTCAAACTCGGAGTTTCATCGGAGATAAGAGTCTAGCACAGCGTCTCTGCTTACGCACCCACGCGACGTGAAGCGCACTGTGCACGCGAGCAGAAGAGAAAATACATATCCTATCCTACACTTGTATGGGTTCGAGGCGATCGGTAAAGTAGATTTTTTAGGTACCAACGTGATACATATGCTATTAAGAATTAAACGTTTTCACTCGTTTTAGAAAAATTAATATTAATATATTAATAATATTAATAATTAATAATTAATTAATATTAATTATTAATACATTAAGCCGAGTTTCAAAAATAGCATTTACTACTAAAAAACGCAATTATTAAATAAACGTGGCGATAAAAAACGACGCAAAATTTTTTCTAAATGATATTATAAAAAACGACATATTTTTTAATCTCGAAATGTAATGACTTTTGGCAATAACTATACTCCGCGATAAAATTTTGACAATTTTTATTTGCTTCTATCTTTATCTATTTAAATCGCATCGAGACAATTTTTTTTTTTTTTTTTTTTTATATTATTATTTTCGTTTTCAAAAGTTTAGAGTACNTTTTTTTTTGATTTCTATTATCACTACGAGTCGATGACGCATTCAGGACTTTAATTTTAGACGCCAAATCATAATATTCATTTTCTATTAGTTGAGCATGCGCAGCTTCAGCGTCGATATCTTCTTGGCCCGTTAATTCTTCATTAAGCAATTCATATTTTCTAAACAATTCGCTTACTTGCTCAAGCTGTAAGCCCGCATTTACTCCATCACTTTTTGCGTTAGCGACAAGATTTTTTAAATTTCTAAGCTTTGATTTTAATGTAGTACGTTTACGCGAAATCGTAGGACCGGCCATGATCTCGGTAAACAAAACAGAGAAATGCAAAGAAAGAAAGCCACGTTAAACGAATATTGAAAAAGAACGAAATAAAAGAACGAAATTATGGTTAAATTGTCTTATGCGTTCGTATATTGTTATTGTCAGCGATGTATAGAATTAATACTTTATTTCTATTTAACAATTAACTTTATTATGTGTTCATTGTATGGAAGCTCGAGACTCTCTGATCGCGAATACAATCAGAATATATTTATAATCTGCCGTTGCTAAGCGATCGATGTTGGCGCGGCGGCGTTCGGTTGTCTCGCTACAGATGTAACATATATTGAATACTCAGCTTTTTCGACGATAAACGATGATCCCAGCAAGAACTGACGACCGATTCGTGTAGTTGACCTTAGACCGCTCAAATGCACCGCTAAAGCCCAATCGTAAATGATTCCTTGACTCTACATCTCACCGAAGGCGCCAAAACATTTAACCACGGAACTTCGGCACGAAACTGAAGTCTCGACTAAACAACAAGTGGAATCATCCGGATAAAATAATATCTTGCGATATCATTATAAATCACGCAATTATTCAACTCCGTCGTGCGCTTAGGTAGTCCTCCCTCTTGCTTGCGGGAATGCATCGTTCGTAGCCTGTACAGATGAATCGTATAGTAGACGCACATCGATTTCATAAAAATTTAACCTCGGACATATTTGATCACACATCACACATCAAGATTCGATGATACCCTTGGGTCTCAATTTTTCCTTCTCATTCACTGATCACGTACATTCGCCACAAGTTATAAAGCATTTTAATAAAAAATAGATAAAATAAATAGTTGAAAATAATAATAATAATTTAGTCTTAGAATTTAACAATTATCTTATGACTACATTACTGTCTTATTTCTTCGTGCACAAGTTGTTCGGGACATCTCGTCTTCTTCGTGGTAATTCGGACCGCTTCGACCCCTCATCTTGGTGTCCAATACACGCACACACCCAATCGCTATAGCTCGGTTTTCTATTGTGCTTACATGTCTGCACTCTGCGGCGGTAACAATAGAAGTAACTCTTATCGCACATTAAGAAGGACTGCGTGTGCATCCTTAAGGCCGCGAATTATCGATTGTGTATCATTATCGGCTGCTATATGCTTGGCTTGGCGTGTGTCGTCTATTCGTGTCTCCTTGTATTGCGCTTCTTTCTTCTGTTCAAATTGTATAAATTCGCGGGGTTGAGTACGTAATTGTAACGTCATACGAAGTATGGCGCTACAACCCATAAAGCACGAGCCTCTATACCAAAGGAATTGCGGCCAGCTGCGCGCTGCTTGCAGTGCACAAGCTCTCATTCAAGCGACCCTCCACAGTCAAGCGACGCACGCCGACTTAGATAGTCACGTCTGTGCATACGCCCAACTTACGGTGGTTCTGATACTACGGAAGAGCCATTTGACTGTTTTAATTTTGCCTATATCTAATAGATCCATCAGTGTATATTATTAACTATTTATTAGTTTGAATCGTTAGAATACTAAAAATTTTCACATATTAGTTCATTCATCAGTCCATGGATAGTGCTTATGAAAATAGTCTATCGAAAATCGTGGGAAAAAACCTTTTGTTTTATCGGCGGGAAAAATTTTTTTTTTGTTATTATCCAACAAAGAGAATTTATTTTTGGAAACTACAGTAAAATAGAGTTTTCTGATGAAAATACCTATATTTTTTGATCTGATTATCAAAAGAGTTTCTCATAAAATTTGCTTAACGAATCGAAGTACTGATTATTTTCGTCACATTTTCAAAAAAGAGACTTTTCTTGTCGCAATTACTAAAAAGATTTTCTACGCCCTAGTTTGAAAAAAAAACCATAGGATCTTCTCATCTGCATTTAAAATGAAGATAGTTGTCATTGGCACCGGTAATTCTATTTTCTTCTCTACGTACATCAACAGTCGAACATTCAGGGTCGATGATAATAATAATTGTATAGATAGATCGATAGAATAATATAGATTTAGCGCATGTAAGTTGGTATTTACAAGCACACGAAGCACTGGTTTGGGCGAAATCACGACAAAATTCATTTTCAACATTAAATATCTCTTTAATAAGTTTGTTAAGGGGCATATTAAATCATATCAATAGAAAAGTGAGAATTCATGCTATCCACTGGTATATTTTTTTTTCTTATTTGTAAGTAGATAACCATGATACAGTTGATTAAATGCGATTTCTGTCCGTACGCCCTTAAGAGCCCATGTTAAAAACGCGACTTTAGCATTAATCATTCTCGAAAGTTAATTCGTTTACCGGGGCTGAAATTTTGGAGAAATATCAAGAAAGTCACAAAGAACAACCCCTTAAATATTCAAAACGATCTATTCATTTTCGATTCATCACCCAACCACATTAAACATGAGTAAATATACTTGCATGTTGTCACCCCTGCAGCATAAAGGATACTTACTCGCGCGCAGAGACAAAAAGGTAGCTTATTCGAGCGCGGCACCAAAACAGTACCTTGTTCAAACGCAGTGGCAATAAAGTTTTGACTCGCTGAATTAAGGTTGGTAACGCAGCTGTGTTATGTGTATAATAAAACTCTGTTCTGTATTTGAGAAAAAAAGAGAAAAAAACAAGTGAGCTAGTGTAAAGATTTTCATCTGTTTATAATGCGAGCAAACAAATGAATCTCACCATGACATCGGCTCAATTTGCCACTCATGGAGAATTTTGTAAGTTCTGAGAGGAAGCTAGAAGTGGTCGTCTTTACTTAACTTTGAATTGAATGTTGAATGTTAAATGTTGAAATAAAATTTTATCAATTACGACTGCGTGGCCAACCTAAATTCAGCGAGCCAAAACTTTCTTGCTACTGCGTTTGAACAAGGTACTGTTTTGGTGCCGCGTTCGAATAAGCTACTTTTTTGCCTCTGCGCGCTTATGCTGGTGTATTGGAAGTGATACCTTCCTGCGCTGGAGCGACGATGTCATCTTCTTCATCATATATTACTAATTGAAAAAAACTTATATACTTACATATTCTGGCCTTCTCCAATTGTTCCAATTTTGATTCCTAAAAAATATATGAGCAATTCCGGAATTTAGTTTTAAATTTTTCGCGCTGTTTTCAGCGTTGCGTGACTCGCTAAAATCGAAACTTGCTCGTAATTCAATTGAAAAAATAAATGAAGATATGGTTTCGATAGGAAATTTTCTTAGCTTTCTCATGGTGCAGGTAGATTTTCCCATAAATTATATTTCCACCAAGAAAAATCAAAAATAAACCATAAAATTCCCTTTCTCTATAACGAGTTTTTCGAGATATTTAGCTCAGCATGTTTAAGGGGGAAGGGCTACACTATTTTTCGACTAATTTTTCGATGAATTTTTTTAATTTTATTTAAATTCGTATACCTTCAAAAGTATTGTATTTAAATTTTACGTTAATTGTTCCTACGTTTTTAACCTCTTCTGACCGGCACCTAGAACATTTTTTTACATTGATTCGGTGATATTTCACTCGAAAAACAATAATGGCACATACAAATATCGATTGCAATGCTTATTTTTGTTGAAACGCGCAAATGAATTGAATTTGAATTTTTCAATTTATGAATTGAAATTATTGGTTATGAATTGAAAAAATGAACTAATTTTTCTCAAAACCAATCAATATAACAATATCTAAAAAAATTTTCTAATAACTGACGGTAATAATGACAAATTTTCATTATTTAGCTATAAATTGTGCCGATTCAAAACGATTAATCAAGTGATTGCTTTTTTCCAACTTTTATTTTGCTTAAAACAACGATTTAAATCATATTAGATGTATCCATATTTAGTGATTTTTAAAGGTCTTGTTCTATACTATAAGAAACATAAGTTAGTTTTGCTTACATTCATTCTGGGGGATTCCCAGTAGATCAGAAAGTAAATGTACTCGGGTCTCAAAAGATTAAATGTTTCTGGGACCCCCACAAATATTTCCCGGGGACCCGTATGCGCGTAGGGTAAAAAAAATGTTGCCACGAATCTACCTTCGAAAATGCATTTTTTTTTTAAAGAATTGCTCATGTAGACAATTCTCTCTCAACTCAACCGATCAACAAATTTTTTGTATACCGAACATGATGGAAATATTGCGTGAAAAGTTCCAGAATTTTGATAGAATTTTTTAGACTGTCTATCACCCTTTTACAGAGTCACAAAGTTGAGATTATCACGAATGTAAAAATAGTTTCTAGCTATAGTATGGAGTGACTTAAACTAAAAAAGTGGATGAGAGCTTTTTTGTTGGAACTATCAAATTTTTCAGAAAAGCAATAATCCAAATTGATTTGAGCTTTTTAGAGGCTTGTGAGATAGAAAGAAACAAAACTTAAAGTCTAATCGAGTCCGATTGGGACTTGTATTTCTAAAAACATTTCAAAAGCTTTCTCAGAATACCAGCTACTATCTCCTAAATTTCGATAGTTAGCTTTACGAAATAACAACTTTTATATTTATAATCGAAGAAATAGTTGCTATCACTTGATCCGGTACCATGAAAGAAATCGAAATAACGACAAAATGTCCTCTAAAATACAGTATCACTTCCTGAAAAAAAATCATACGCTTTAATTCTAGATTGATCATTTTTCTATTTTATTTTTCAGCAATGATAATCCTACGGTTACTGTCGACATTAATGCCATATATGGTGTTAACGGGTTATTTTTATAATGAAAGCTTAGCAATCAAGGTCTTCAGCAGCCGAAATAACACAATTAACGAAGGTACGTGTGCATGTTTTGATGATAATTTTCGATCTTCACCGCGTTTAGGTACACGTGAAAATTTAAACACTTTATCAATTTAAAATAATTAGCTTATTTCAAAATAAACAATTTCTCAAAATCTGTTGGTTTTTGATTATTCAGCTGAGCGAAGCGAAGTCCTACTATTGTTAAAACAAACGGCCTTGTAAACAAGATATCTCAATAACCGTTCAACCGATTGCGTTTAAATTTTTATGATGCTTTTCTAGTGACCCGAAGATGTGCTGTATAAATTTTGGAATCGATACGATAAAAGCAAAGTCTTTTCAAGGGCCAATTCATGGGAAAAAATCGCGTCGATTGCGAATGAAAAATTTCGTTACTTTGGGCGTTAATGGGTTAATAAAAGATAATAAAGACATGTTTTCTAATGTAAAAGGACTGCAAAAAACATAGATTTCCCCTTAATTGTATACTTCATTTGAACAATATCCACTAAAAAATATCTCTTGCACTTTTTTCCTCGAGTCACTCTAAGCTATACCAGACATTTTCGAATCATTTGAAAAAGAATAATAGTTAATCTAAAAATTTTTTAAAAATTTAGGGACTCGCCTGGCATCACAAAAATTTTTTTCACCATTAGATTTCTTTGAAAATCAGCCAGTTTTATCAGTACACCATATGTTTCAGACTAAAAATTTGCATATGGTAAATTCCCTTTACTGACACGTGAAAAATTAAAAAATGGAAATGCCAAGAAAGACTACCAACGAAAAAAGTATCGTCACTATTTTTGGTTCATATTTTCAAAGAAAAAAAATCCATTACTGTCAGTGTCAAAATTGTTGTATTGATTTCCTTACAGCTTTTATTTTAAAAGTATTGAAGAATTACTCATGTATTTCTTGAAAATGTCTTGAAAGTCATTCATAAAAAATCAAATGATAATCAAAATTTCATCAAAATTTTAGCTTCTGTTCATGTTTCGAAAACATTTAACAGAATGTTCATTTACCATCTGTTCCGTATGCAAACACAATCATGTATTTGGTGATTAGCGTGTACGACTGATGCTGAATAGACAATCTTATATACGCACTATTTAAATATGGAAAATGTTTTATAGCGATAACTTACTCCAATCAGTCAAAAATCATGGGAACCTACAAGGAGTTTGTAAAGTCTATACAAGCTGATAGACAAAATGTACAGCAGGAAAATAGTATCTATGAATCTTACACCGTTTCAATTAGTCCAACTTATTTCAACAGAAGATCGGAAAAAAGTGATGGCATAAGTAATGATCTCAATTATAAATCGAAACCACTGTTTATGAGCAGTTTGTCACATTACGGCAACAGCAATGAATCAAAATCAACTTTTAAGATTATAAAACAAGATAATAACTACATCGTTGAATGGAAATGCGAACTTTCACTTCTTATATTCACGTTAATACAAAATAAGAACTTTCCTAAGACGCCCGATGCAATTTTAGCTTCGTATTCAGCAAATACAAAAAAATATAAAACTATGAATGAGTCGTTACAGGTTAATTGAATTTAAATTATATTGATTTTATCGATATTCTAAGCATTGATTTATTTTGTGTTTCATTTTTACAGTTATGCAAAATAGTATGCAGAAAGAGTAAAGTAGATGAAAATGACTGGGATTTAGCTAACGTACATGTAAGTGATTGTCAAGTTAGGTCATTGGATACATGGAAATCGTACAACATCATAATTATTATACTCGGATTTTTTTTGTCGATCTGGCTAATAATTCATTTTATAGTGTTCGTGCGAAGAAATCAGCGCTCGCGATCGTCAGTTGAACTCCCCGTTGAAATACTTTAAAATAAATTGTAAATCTTTTACTTGTAAATTGGAATTGAAATCAACGCACGTTAAACGCGTCTAGAATGAACTAGAAATTAAAATGTAGCAGACCCTATAATCAGTTACTTCGTCCAATATCTTATGTACCTCGACCATTCTTAAAATTCTGTGTGCAGAGAGTGAAATGAGTTTTCCAAATAGAAACAAACTATAATGATCTCAATAACTAAAAAAATAAACAATTAAATGTTAAATCTAGTCTTGAGTTCTTCGATCTTTTTTGTTCGAAGTATCTGCTATATCTTTTTTGTCAAAAGTTTTTTTTATCTCTAAATTTCATAAATTGCGCATCTTTGACCATCATGAAAAATTAATACTTTGACGTATTCTAAAATCGCAGTTGTTATCGGTTTAACCCGCATCGTGATTTATTACGACGAAATCATTACTCCGTCTGCATTGCGAGGGAGATATTCAGTGTGAATCACAATCATGACGTGATACGTAACAAAAAATTAATAATATATTACTGCCCTAGGTGTAAATTTTCAGTCAACGCAGTTAGATATGTGCACTGGGGCTGTTTTTTCTTGGTATAGGCCAGTATGCTATTTTTCATATCCAATGGTCCCGAAATAGCAATTTTCCGTTTAGGTTAGTGGCTGTGAAATGTTCCTTTCGTGGCACGGGTGTAAAAATTGAATTTAGTCCTTACTTTTTACCTGTCGTGTATGTCATCGAAATTATGCATAGAAGATGCGCGAGATACATTAAATTGTAATACATGTGTAGCTGCTCGCCAGCTGCTTCTTACAGTTTTATTGGTTTGTTTTATAATTATTTTTTATAGTTAAAGGATGCATCACAGGCTGTAACACAAGTACCATAAGTAACACTTTTTGCCACGTTGTAGTTTAGGGCCTGAGTGCAGCGGGGGTTTTTTAATAGTTGGCATTCTTATAGTAGAGTTGGAGCGTTGGTCTACTCGATTTGCTACACTTTCCAGTGGATAAGTCTAAATATTAATTATACATTACATAAAAAATTATTTTCGGTTAGAGTGAAAATTATACATTGGCATGAATTATAAAAAGTTAACATTCTTTTAATATTAAATCAAATCGCTCGCATTAAAACAGTAGCAATGAAAATCATGCAGAAACAAGTGAAGGGACTGGTGACTCGAATTTGCTATATAAATTGACTTTTCGTATCCAGTGAACGACGTACGGGAAATATATCGTCATAATTTTTCTGTAAAATAGTATATTACGTGACAAGGGACGAAAGTCGAACTTCCGTCCCTGCGAGGTTATGCACCCGAGGCGAAGCCGAGGGTGCCCTTATAAAAATTTCCAATAGGATCCCGCGAAATTCCTATTGGAATCCTATAGGACTCCTGTAGGAATTTCGCGAGATCCTATAGGAAATTTTTATAAGGGTGCAAGCTCGCAGAGACAGGCGTTTGACTTTTGTCCCGAGTCGCGTATACGATTTTTCTTTATCCCCGCTCGAAAGTACGTTTGCTTAACATAGTTAAGAAATATTTTATTAAAAAAAATTGTATCCATGAATTTACGCTTACATGGCAAAGCCCGCCGACATTTGCGGCCCGAGCGCAGCGAGGGCTGCTGGTCGACGGCGGGCTTTGCAACAAATATCATCAATAATAATGTTTATTAGTACATAACTAATATTATTAATAAACAATTGTAAATCATAGATAACTATGGCGTTAATAAAATACAAACGATCCCGTAAAGTATAAGCATGAATTAGTACCATATCAATTAAGTAATTCACTCAATCTGAGGTAGACAAGTAGAAACTTGAGTGACCTAGAATAACGTTTAAAGTTGAAAGAATTTTTCAAAATATATTATAAAAATTAACATATTTTGACTGTCTTTGTTCTCTTAGATCTCATTTTTTATTGCAACTACCATCTTTAACGATTTAAATTTCGGATTGGAATTGAATGTAATGAAATGTGTACGTCAAATTATGGCTATTCAATTTTGATACTTCATAGAATTGTTAGTCTTTTAATATTTATCCAATTTGGCATATGTACGTCATAAACAAAGTGAATATAATTCATCTATTGCATCGTCGAAACCAAACGATAATTGAAATGTTGGTTGCCGTAGTCATGGAGATAATAACTTTCGCGCGATATTGACGGGGAGCAAAAGTATTACTTTCGTCCCCGAATTCGAAGATGAAAGTACGTACTTTCGAGCATGGGATGAAGAAAAAAATGTTACCACGCTCAAGAGGACAAAGTTTTAAATACTTCTTTTTACGTACGAAATCAGAAATTAGAAGCGCAATTGCAATAGAACGAAAAAAATATTTATCATATTATGTAATATTTAAAGTGTTATAGAAATAACCTCGAATGATTAACATTTCGTCACTCGCAACATTACTTACAGAGAAAGAGTGTCGAAAAGCGTAGTGCTGCGCGCGTAATTTCGTTACGGGAAAAATTTTAATCGCGGATCGACAATAGCTGTGCTCGTGTTGTTTTGTTTATGTCGTGCATGGCCTCAGAGCATCCCCAGCCCGGCGTTTTGCCGTACACGTACACAACAGCGTTACGCTACGCCGAAAAACGTATACACTACATCGCAAGCACAGCCTTCTGCTGTGCACAGGCACATGCCATCAAACACAGCGCAGATCTACACCAATATCACGAGTAAAAAAGCCTTCAACACAAAAACTAAGGGCTCGTTATATTCTTTAAATAGAATTAATTTCTGTTTTCGTCTCGTTAAATTCAATTATAACTATAAATAAGGCATAAGTGAATTTTACCCGTGACGGGAACTGCCTCGACCAAGAGCCTGCAAGCTCGTGACACACGAGAAGATAGTCGCTAATCCGTGTTGCACAATACAACTCGCGAATACCTTGCTTCGACGAGCTCCCGTGATGATCCCGCGTACGGATGCTCGACGAGCCGTTCCATTTCCCGCGGGTCTGTATCCACGTAGAGTGAAAAAAAAATTTTTGCCGCCAATCTACCTCCAAAAAAGCGTCTTTTTAAAGAATTGTTCATATGCGAGAACGTGTCGTTCGTAGCTTGTACAGAGGAATCGAGGAGCACGCACATTTACTACCAGCCGGGCACACTCGCTCAGTGAAAGCAGCAATTTGACAAAAAGAGATGTTTTCAACTTGACTATAGCACGTTGTAGCAGATTTACTTCGATCTCATAAAAATTTAATCTGGCATAAATTTGATCACAAATAGTGCTGGAAAGGAATCTCGTATTGTTGCAGCGGAATCGCATACAAGATAAGTCAAGTGTAACTAAACTTAAACGGTAATTTAACAGCTGAATTGAGAATATTTTCTGTATTGAAAGATGTATCATCTCTTATTGAGACCATATAAAAATTTGATGATGTCTTTTAGTCTCAATTTTTTACTGTTTATTCAGTGATCATTTTAATAAAAAATAGATTCAACAAATAGTTAAAAATAATAATAATAAATAAATAAATAAATAAATAAATTATTATTATGGATTTCGAAAAACCAAACGGGAAAAAGGAATGTTAAGTTGTAATCTTCACTCGTGAAACTCTTTGGTGCCCTTGTTACAGCCTGTGATGCAACCTTTTACTACAAAAAATAATTATAACAGAAACCAATAAAACTGTGAGAAGCAGCTACACATGTATTACAATTTAATGTATCTCGCGTATCTTCTATGCATAATTTCGATGACACACAAGACTGGTAAAAAGTAACATCATTTCGGCCACGCGCAGCCATTTCTTAGGCCTCTGTTAATTAAAAGCTTGCAAGAACTCTTGCAAAAATACAATTCGCACGACAAAGAAATGTACACGCGCTACCGCGAGATGAATGAATATCGGAAAAAAACTATAAAACTGCGGTGACCACGACTCCTAAGATTTCGGGAAGACCCGGGGTTTTGTAATGTACACGTGCATGCAAGATATGTGTGAATTATTGGCACATATCGAGCCGACTACATACGCTGCAACCGCTAAGGCGGGGGCAAATTTAGGTTTATGTAAGCTACGAGAAAAGAGTCTCAGCAGCTCCTTCTTATCTACGAAATCGCACTCTGCGTGTCGAGATTTGTAATCACTCAACTCAATAATCAAAGTTTATAAAATATCGTTTATATTTGTAAATGCATTGTATGCATATGATTCGAGTAGCTTCATAACTGTGTAAATCAATTGTACTGTGTTCGTGTGTGTGCCACACCATCATCTTCGGCGATTCCAATAAAAATTATTATTATATCTCTTTATTAATTATTATATCTCTTTGACATTATACTTCCTTTTACCCTACCCCTACGCAACAAGCAACATAAATAAATAGAAGGTTTCTTGTTATAATTCTGACTACGGAGTTTGTAACGCCCTGAATAGAAAAAAATTTTAGACCTTTCACCTTGATTCAAAAGTGGCGTTTTCGCCCAGCATGCAGGAAGATGCTACCGCGATTGGGGCAATATGCCAATAATCTGAATACAATGAAAAACCCCTTTTTTAATGCACATTAATGAATAAAATATGAATATTAAACACTTTGAAGTCAATGAGTTAGTTACTCAATCACACTGTTTTGTATTAAAAAATTTATTTTACGGAAAAAAAAATTTTTTTGTGGCATCTTTCCCTAAATGCCTATTTTTTTTATAACGTCATTAATAAAAAAGTTGACGACTTTGGTTTATGCAGCTGCAAAAAAAAAATAATCTCGAAGGTAACATTTATCATTAACATTTTCCACTTAAGCATTTCATTGAAAACTGAACGAATATTTTCACATTGAACTTAACAAAGTATTCGTCACGAGGAAAACCATTTTCTTCGACGCTTGAAAATCAACTGATAATAGCAACGAAATATTAGCATTTCGTGTTAATGTAATCGGATTATCATAGCGCAAATTCCAATAGATTACTTATCTAAATTTTCTTTCTTATTACGATATATAGCAAAGTGGCATCTTCTCCGAGGTGGCGTTTTCCCCCACTTTACCTTAATTCATATTTATAAATCATATTCCTTGTAAAAGAAAGCTCCTGTGCACGTATTTATTAAAAAATAAACAGGTTTGTAGACGATTTTAAAAATTTTAATAAAATTTGAGACAGTAGTGAGAGAGTGGTGGAAAGCCGAATAAAGTATGATGCGGAGGGATGTCTTCGACACCCTTTCAACTGGTAGGATGCGAAGATCAAGTGGCAATTTCGAAACCCCAGAAACGTTAATCCTCTAAATATTACGAGAGTCTGATCATGGTGTATCCGTGGTGGCTACCGGGGCTGTAATTGATTTGAGAATTTCTCTCAAGTTCAAATTTGCCATTGAACTTTGATAGATGCGTGCGCCCTATAACTTTGAACGACCGCTATGAAATGACAACAAAAATAATGTATTGAGGCATTGAGTCACGTCAGAAAATGCAGGATGTCTTGTTGAACAATTATTTTATGATAAAAAGGACAGATGTTAAATTAATATCAGCAGTTTATCAAAATAGTATCTTATCCAATAAGAGTGCTGAGATGTATAGCGTGAACAGTTTATAAGTGTTGTGATTGGTCGTTCAGGAGCTTGCTATTGTTCAGTGACATGCAAATATGAGTGTTGTATAGTAAGTTGAGAAAGTGGAATATTAACCTTTTGACGGCTTAAGACTAAATTTTATTGGTTTTCTCGAGAGATCGCTGAGGCGAAAATCCGACCCATTGCGTATTTTTACAATTTATAACATGATCTTCTTTTATTTTATTCTTCTATTTTAAATATTGAAAAATCGTAAAATGGGATAAGAAACAAGAGAACGCGCACAGTACGCTGAAATGAGTTTTATACAAAAGTTAAAATCACTTATTTATAATAATAATATATTAATCAATTTTTTGCTTAAGGTAATTTTGTGCTCCTCAAGGATTTTCTCGGCGGAGAAATTTTCACGGGCTTCCGCGAATATGAATGAACATCCGCGACTTTATTAATTTCGGAAAAAGAGCCACACGCTGTCCGTTAGTAAATACGCACGTACTAGACATGTGACAATCATTGACTCATATCGACCTTGCGATGTACGCGGCAGCCGCCTGGACCGGGGTAAATTTGAGGTGTATAAAACCTTCGGTAACAAAGGATTTTTGGCTCTGTTATTTCTAATTTCTTATAAGGCGTAAAGTCATTCAAAATTTATCACTGCGTAGACGTAGTGTATACTCTTAAATTTGGAATCTTTCGAAAATTTGATTAAACTTTCATAGTCTTTCAACGATAAATGTTGTCCAACCCTGTACTTCTGCTCAAGCAGATAGTCAGCAATGAGACTTGAAATATTTTGTGATTTATTTAATGTGCAAATAATTCATTGTAACTGGTAAAAGTAAGTGCATCTGCGCGATCCAGTCTTCATCGATACTTGAACCAGACAAAAGGTATCGCAGGCAGCCAACAATGTCACCAGGCAAGCGACGTCGTAGGCAGTCAACGATTACAAGCAGATAGGACACAAGCAGTATGAGAATAAATATGTTTGTGTGTGTAATCTGTAGCGACCAATGACCCTTGTTAACCATCGATTATTATTATAATAAATCATTATTATATAGATTATAATATTAATCACAATCAACTACAGTCCTATTTTATTATCACTATACCACAGCAACATGGGTCAATAAATAAATCTTTATTATGTCAATATTCCGACCACGGAGTACATCAAACTTTTTTTAAAAATTTATGTAGGTGAAATACATTGCCACAGCTTTTCTGTCTGACCAAGACCAGGCCGTCAAAAATATAAATACTTCTTTTTCTCACGAAATTGGAAATTGCAAGCAAAATTGGAAACAAAAAATTCAGCACATGATGTTTAAAAATCGATTTTTTCATTTCTTTTTATAATGGGACTTTTCATTCTCTCTCAAAAGCATTTTGTTCAATTTCAAACCTTGGATTTCTAACTGTCGTAATGTTCCTTTTTTTTTGCTGCATTGTTAACAAAGTTTACAATGTTAACTTTAGGAAATTTAAGATAATAAAGAGATCACCGTCTTAAACGTCATGAATGTCAAATACAATAAAAAATTTTTGAGAAAAATATATTCATCGATAGATATTTACACACGTAGTAATTTCGAGTTACACAAGTGGCAAGTGTATACATTACCACCTCGACGCGAGAAACACTTTAACAAATTCGAGTGTCAAAAAAATGCTTAATCGGTCGCGGCAGAAGCAACTTATACGAATTCTTTCCTGAAAGTTTTGCTCTTAGATTAGAGGATTCATTTTCGGGTTATATGTTGGAAAAGCATCAAGTTAAAAGTATTAATTCTGTTCAACTTTTAACTGTAGATGCTCCTCTATATTGTTTTTAAAAAAACCAAGTTCGAACCTATCGCCTTTGTCCAACCCCTTTTATCATTTTTAAGACATTTGCGCAAATTATTTGCACGCAATAAGATATGTCCTTGCTTGTCAATTTTATCGAGGTGGTCCTTGGGCTTGGGGGTGGTGGTTTCTACGCAAGCTCTCCCTCCTTCCATTTCCTACCTCAAATAGGTGTAAGCTACGATTAATAAGTTTTCATTTCAGTACGTGACAAACAACGATATGATCAAAACTGTAACTAAACATGGATATCTTGGAAATGTCACATAGAGTATCTACCTTCAATTCATTTTATTTTAACAGAACTACACAATTTAAATAGTTATTCTACACCGGTCAACATTAGATGATTTGGTAGCTTCGAACATGAATAAATATAATTGTATTATTAATTAAATAATTCTTTTTAATTATTAATTAATTAATTAAGATTAATCGACTTTTAATGTTAAATATCCCTGTATACATGAGTAAATCTCACGAGATTTTCATATTTTGATGCTGTTAAGGAAGACCAACACGTTTACATTTAAAAATGTATAGAAACGTGCTACTCTTCCTTAACAGCGTCGATTTTTTCAACTCAAGGATGCCATGAGATTTATCTGTGTGTTTATTAATATGGGGAGAATCGCGATAGATGTCCCAGCGGTGTGCGGAAGCGCGCAAAACAGCCAAATCACGCAATTTTTGACTCGCTGCACGGACTTCATATTCTATATAGAAAAAATACGGGTAAGTGATTTTGATGTGTTTTTTCCTCAGCTTTTTAGTGGTGAGGTCAAAAATGCAAAAACCAGCCTTCATAACCTTAAAAAATGGACTTTAACTTAAAACACGCTGTATCTTTTTTGCCTCCAGGTTTAGAGTTTTTTTAAGGGTCAAGATCGAAAGATCTCGCGATTTTACTTCAGAATGCGAAGGCAGCGGTGCCGGAATGTGCGACTTATGCCACGCAGTGCAATAAAAATAAAAATGAAGCCTTGGAAACTTAACATTATAATCATTAATTACCAATTATTTTATAATATAAGCAAGAATTATTATACGTTCTGGATTGATCATTTTTCTCTTCTTTTTAGCCAAAAGAATTGTAAGGTTACTGTCAACATTAATGATACACATGGCATTAACGGCGGCAGAGGTCACACCATCATCATTTTCGTTGCAACAGCTGATCGATCTCGAAAAATGCTGCTCTGATGATTGTATTAGATGTAAAGAGCAGACATCTCAACACAGTTAAATTTATATCCACCTTTTGATTTCCATGTTACATCCTCTTGGTTATGAGAAAGATTCCAGTAAAATTTTGAACATGAAGAATCATACTCAGGATACTTTACACAACAGCACTTTGCAAGCTCTGAGGAAGAGTATGTTCAATAATGAAAGCCTACAGACCAACGTGCTCGAGAGCAAAAATAACACATTCAACAAAGGTGTGTATAACTTATTTTAATAGTTTGCTTTATTAAATAAACAATTTGTTTAACTTAAATTTTGTTTTTTCATTAGCAGTTTTTGCTAATAATTTCAAGGATAAAAATATTTTTCGCAACAAAGGAGAAGTTTTTTGATATAAAACATAATTAGAAAAAGTTCATATTTTCCTCTTTTGGGGCTCATTTAACAATACTCCGAAATGAAGGTCATTATTTTTAACAGTGATTTTGTACGCCTCCTATGGGGAATTTATTAAAAAGCTCAATCTACACCAAACAAACTGATACTTTCTGCAGCGCTACTCTCTCAACCAATCAGAACGCTTATAACTGTCGACACTTTTGGTTGATGCTTTTTCTAAAAGCGAATTATGGGTTATTTGTTCATTTACGTACACAACCGATGCAAAATATAGTTTACATTTTTAAACATTTAATCAATGGTGATTAGAGGGCCTTCATACCTAAATATATAACATAACTAGACGTTTAAGACGCGCTTCGCGCGCGTCAATTTTTTCATTCGTATTTTGAGGTTATAACTTTCAGGCGCGCTTCGCGCGCGTACATTTTTCAGTCAGTTTCGAAAAAGTTGCTATTTTGACCGTAGATGTCACTTTACTACGTTTCCACTAGAGTCAAAAGTCAGTCGACCAATCAGAGGCCGAATAGATTGGCTTCACTTTTAGGTCTATCTCTTTTTTATAAGTTAGAAAACATTGCTTAATAGACAGACTCATTTATATCGATTATAGATACGCATTATTTAATTATATAATAAAACGTTTTTCAGGGACAAATTACTTTAATCAGTCGGAGATCTTGAATGAGAATTGTACTAAGACGATAAAAGTTATTATCAATGACTTCGACAAACCGAGTATTCAGCATGAAGTTAGTACCTATGAAGCTCGCAGTATTACAATTACACTGCCTTATTTCACCAGATTGAAAAAATCTGGTGTACATCATGTTCTCAGTAGGATACCAAGACCACCATTGAGAAATATCTTGCCAGATTTCAACAAGAAAAATCAATCAGAATCAGCTTTAAAGAAGGTTTTGCAGCAATGTAATAATCTCATCATTGAATTGAAATGTGAGCCTTCAATTTTTGCTTTTAATATTACCCAACATAGTCAGCTTCCTATGACACTCGACGCACTTCCAGTTACTAATACAAACGAATATAAAATTATAAATGAGGTTCGTTGAATTAAAGTTATATTGATCCTACCGATATTCTATAGATTGATTTTCTATTTTTTTACAGACATATTTAATAATAAGCGCCATTGACATGAAAAATTATTCAAATCTTACTATTATTGGCATCAATCTATGTCGAGAAGCGCAAATGGATGGATGGACCACATTAAACCTCATATTCGCAGTTCTTTTTTCAATATGCTCAATGCTTATTTTTACGTTAATCAGACAAAAATGTCGGCGTGTGCACTCCCTAGAGCGTTAGAACCCTTCATTTGAACTAGGCAGAATCGAAAGTAATTTCCCGACTGATTTTTGTGCAAATTTATCTCCAAACGTTGGTGCTAGAGTTGATATCTTATCCCATATTTAGTCTTTCAATGGATTGAATCAAGCAGTTCCTGTACCTTACATTATAACTTAAGCACCCAAATAAATCTTGTTTTAAATTGAGTGTAACTAATCAATATTCGAATAATCATCTTAAAAACTGGAATTAATAACTGTTAGATTAGAATTTTTGACAGTAGTCCTTAGATCTTTCTTATCTGACGTATCTGCTGCTTCTCTTTAGGTTTTACAATACAGAAATCGACAAGAGTAATTATTTTATTTAAAGTTTTTTCCATATAAAAAACCATACTATGTAGAATCCGTTCGATCCATGAAGAATCTTCTCTACCCTATGAGGACTTCCGTTGGGAATTAAACGATATCGATGCGACCCCAGGACGGATCAGTGGAGAAATTTGGCATATGAGATAGATTTCCAAGCCGATTTCACAAGGAAATCCGTTTTTTCATTTCAAACAGTGTATTTCTACTCTTTTTTGTTTAGTTCCATTTTTCTCTAAAATGTATAAATGCGTACATCTTTAGTGATTATAAAATCCCAAAAATAAATACACTCGGCAACAAAATTATCGCAACGAAAAAATTCATCGAAATTTCGTCGATTTTCAAATGCTTCTATATTGGGCTAGATTTATCGTATCGACACGCTTTTTATTTGATTTCTTGGAAATTTTGTCTTCTTTAAATCTATATAAATTAAGATGAGGTTCGAGTTAATGTTGAGTTACCAGTAGTATTTGAGCGCGACACTAAAAATTACTGAAAAAAATGACTGTTTGAACGTGTACCAGTATCACAGTAATTTTTCTATGGAAATCTAACCTACACCATCGCAAAGTGCTCTTTTCAACGAGTAATTTAAAAAAAAAGGACCTCTCTACGATTTTTTTAACGCCCTGTAGGTCGTTTTGAAGATACCATTTAAAGTTCGTAAAATCCCCCGTTTAGCTGAAATTAAGATGATTTTCTGGGTTTTTTGCGTACACAAACCGTACCTTCAAATCGACCTACAGGGCGTTAAAAAAATCGTAGAGAGGTCATTTTTTTTTTAAATTACTCGTTGAAAAGAGCACTTTGCGCTGGTGTATGTTAGATTTCGATAGAAAAATTACTGTGTTACTGGTACACGTTCAAACAGTCATTTTTTTTTCAGTAATTTTTAGTGTCGCGCTCAAATACTACTGGTAACTCAACATTAACTCGAATCTTATCTTAATTTATATGGATTTCAAGAGGACAAAATTTCCAAGAAATTTAAAAAAAAGCGTGTCGATACGATAAATCTAGCCCAAGATAGAAGCATTTGAAAATCGACGAAATTTCGATGAATTTTTTTGTTGCGATAATTTTTTTGCCGAGTATATTTTGACCGTTTTGACAATACATGTTATCTGTGTAGCCTCGCATGGTCTTTGATTTTTGATACTTTTGCTGAAAATGGGGTCTTGAGAATTTGCGAGTAAGCATAGTCTACACAAAATTTAATGAAATTTCCGAATCCAGTGTCATTTTCGATATGAAAACCAAGTTAAAAGTTATGGATGGTTTTACCCAAAAAAACGTGATTTCGAAAAAAAAAATTTTTCATCTTTTCTTAATTTTGGTGTTTACAGTTTATAACATAATCCTTGTTTATCTTATTTTTCAATTTTAATAATTGAAAAATGGCAAAATGGGATAAAAAAGAAGAGAAATTTTTTGTATTATAAGTTCATTTTATGACCACCTCTTAATAGCGGCCACCTCTCAATAGCGGCCAATTTTTTCGAAACTACTAGTTATCGCTAAGCGCGCTTCGCGCGCATTTTTAAGAAAACTTATTAAAATTATAAGCTACTTATTTAATTTTTTTTTCATGAGTCAATCATTAATAAAGGTACAACATTTTTTAAGTGAACGTGATGTCATACTCATTGTTATAAATGCCCTTTTTTAATGAGGGATTAAATGAAAAACAATAAAATACGTATAAAATGATTTTCAAAAATCGGCATTGCAGACCCAGTAGATGTTTTCAAGCAGGAATGCGATCTATTGATAGATATGGTTTTATTATCACATATCGAAACCTCTCAGCTACACGATGATCCACTGCAGAGCAGTACAATGAAGTGCTATTTCTAGTTTATTAAGCAGCAAGATGCCTCTTCGGAGCTCAATTCTGCATGACGTTACCTTCGCATCTCGTAGCGTAAAAATAATAATAATCAAGTTCGGATAAAGATGGCACTTCGTGAAAACAATTCAAAACTGTACATGCTGATATCGAAGTCAGCCCAATGATCAAAATTTCAATTCAGTTTTCAGAATCTTCACTGATTATTTATCTAAAAAGCTCTACAACTACCTCAAAATCATTAAAATAAAGCTCGTCATAGAGCCCTTTGTTCGGTAAAAGATTCAGAAAACAGGATTAAAATTTAGATTTTTGGGCTAACTTCGTCATCTTCTTTAACCTCATAGAGTTAAATTCACACCTGTAAAGAGAACATGTTAACGTAAAACTCTTTCTGATAAAGCGCTAGGGTTCACGTTGAGAACGCAGATTGTTCGTTTTTGAAAAAAATAATCCAAATTATCAATTACCTTCCCTTCTCAATTTCGCAAAAAAATAATCTGCGTTAGCAACGCTTTTAAGTGTAGGGTTTACGAATTACTCTTTTGAATCCTATTAAGCACGGCATCGAAAAGAATTTCTTGCGAACATTTCTCAGGAATAACTTTTTAGAGTTACCGCAATGTTAACTCTTCTGGGTTTACAGCGTGTTCAGTTTTAAATTGTCTTCGTTGAATGCGCTTTTTTTTTATTTTCATTTGTGAATGATTTAACAGTGGCCCGTAAGCAACTATTTTCCTTCGCCTGCGGAGAGAGGGAAATGCTATTATAGGACAACTGAATATGAAATATCGTATGTAGTCTAAGCCACCAAAAAAGAAATCCCTTATGCACTTCTTTGTCGGCCTCGGCTTCGCCTCGGCCTAGGATTGTGTACTATTTCATTTTTAACTCTGACTAATCAGGTTAACGAATTATTTATATTAACAATATTTTTAATCTACTCTGTTCCAATTATGCATTTCGATTTTGATTCGATATCAATATTCACACTTCAATTCATATACACATTCAGCGCACTCATCATCCGATATTCGATATTCGATTCGATATTCGATATTCGCTAAGCTCTATGATTTGATAATCGCATCATCAAATTTATTATTATTAGATCAGTGTCCGCTATTAGGAGGTTTCACTGTATACCTAGACACATACCCTACTATGAATATTCATTCATTTAAAATCAGATGATTATTCTTCTAGATACAGACGTTGTAGAGACTCCACCTATGGTGATTGCCTCATATTTTCTACTGGTTTCATTTCTTGCCCTTTGTATGATTAGATATACTTAGATATACTTAATTCTGTAAATCACAAAACATTCATGTTAATTTGTGGCTGCTCTGAGATCGTGCTATCAGTGTCACTTTGAGAAAATAACTTGCAATAGTAAAAATTTTGGTGTATCTCAGTTGCTATATGCAATGAATCTATTTTCAAAATAAGAAATTTAAAAGTTTAAAAATGATATAAAGTATGGCAACAAAAGAAAATGACCAACATCACCGAATTATATGAAAAAAATTGTTACGCACTACTTCAGGTCGTGAAAAAAAAACGTATTCAAATGAGACACAACGATTTTTATTGAAAATATTTATATATTCATGTAATGATAGTCTGATAGACTTACATATTAATGTAACAATGTTTTATTTTGTATATTTTTAATAAATTATTAATACCTTCCACGTGCGATGACTAATTTTGCTACCAGATCTTTTAATAAATTAAAACTTCTTAGAAAAATATATATATATTAGTTTAAACTTGTTATTCGTGACATTAATATATGATTTCCAGCATGATCAAATTTAACTATTTATAAATTCTCAATGTCAATTGTTCTATCAAATAAAATTTTAGTTTGCGCTTATTAACTAGATCTTTTCTTATTCAATATTTACATTAAGGTAATTTAATACATATTATAACATTTAATACATTTTGTATTCTTTTAAAATGTTTGGTTTTAGATGCTCAATATTGGGTTCCTGTCATACGTACATTAAAGATCGACTCGCTCGGAGTCAAATTTTTTTTTTTTAGATACACAGAATATCGACAGTAAAATTTGATAATCCTATGATCTTACTGTATTGTTATCTAAGTAGTATGCTTTCATGGAGCGAATTAATAAAATTATACATTCAGGACTTTTTAAATATATTTATAATCTAAAAGTCGTTTGAACATTCTAAATACGAATAAATTAAAATAAGAGGAAAGGCATCAGATATCTAAACTATGTTACAAGGCACTTAATTTATACTCTTTCACGTAGTATCGTCGCCTCCAGGACGAGTCAATATGAGTCATCGCTATATTATATCGGCTTTGGCCCGAGTTAAATTAAAGTCATGGTATTTATTAAGACGAAAAAAAAATCTGTACACAATGATAACAATTATTGTTGCCGCCTTCGAGCATATAGTTGTAACTCGGCAATATTCAAGCGAGTGGTCGGACGGTGCTTATGAAGCGATATAGAGTAGGAATTTTTTGTACACGAAAATTCATGTATCATTATCATCCTCGAAATAAGTATATTATCGATACGCACATACAGCATTCATTACAATGAACTTACTTCATCTACGAGAGTACGATGGAAGCTTACGGTGCGCGCAAGCTTCGATCGGTTTACATTATATGTACAGGAAAGCACCAACGAGTCGCCGGGCCTACTTCGTTTAACGAAAAAATAAAATAAAATAAAAAATTGAAATAAACACGAATTCGTAAAATTGGCTATACGTTGTGGCGCGTTCTAAAAATCGTGCGCGATTTAGAAATTGTACTATGTCACATGATTAATAGTAATCGGCGATTTTTCGAAGAGTCGATCTCGCGCTATCAACGGCGCATCACAATTTTCATAATTTTCGCGACATAATTGGCGTAGGAGCAAAGCTGTTTGAAATTTCGGTCATGGCTTATATAGTCCCCGTTGCTCTTCTCTTTCTCTGTTTTGGTAATATCACGTCCAGCGTAACAAATATATCATATATAATACGCAAAGAGCGGGACATTTTCAGCTGCAGCTGCCGCCGCAGATGGGGGTACGAGGACACAGCTTTTCAGGTGCTGATGAGAGGCGCCGTGTCGTCCTCCTCCAACAGCAGATCGCCACCTACGCCGGCGGTTAGTCAGTCGTTGTTCATGTCTTTGAGCTCGGTGTAGGCGAAGCGCTTGCGGTAGAGCGTCTGCGCCGCGCCGAGACCGGACGAGCCCGCGGCCGTCTTGCTGCGGCCCGTGGGCGACGTCGGCGGCCCGGGTATGTAGTAGTGTCGCCGTTTGTACATTACCATTCTGCAAAAGAAGAGAAAGAGAGGATAGCCGTTAGTGGACGGAATCGTTAACGAAGAGATCGTTGGTTGGTCGTTCGCAAGCATCATTTTGAGAAAATATTTAACGTCGCTATATAATCTTTGCGGTCGAGTGTTAGGAAGAAAAATGAAAAGGAGTGCAGCGCGCATGCATGACATTAGTAAACACAATTGAACTGGTTATCATCAGAGATTGTTGGAAAAAAGTGTACATTTTCAGAGCAGATTTTTAATTAAAAAAAAAACTACTCCTTCGTTGTAGTAGATAAAACAGAATACATACTATAACCAGCCATACGTAATAAAATTTGTGTAACTAAACTGTGTGCTATAAAGTCACGTGTTTGCGCTCGCCGTACAACTGTTTTATCGGCACGAAATCGGCGAATTCAGTTCACGAGCTGTAGCGGCACTAGGGGCAGATATATGCCCGGTCGAAACTAGTTTCGGACGGAATAACGTGGCGAGCTTGCGACGACAATTTTTACGCAATCGTGTCACTAATATTACGATAAAATAGAAAAGACCAACGGGCGATCGTCGAAATTATAACTACGAGCTTTTCGCGGAGAAAAAAAATATATCGCATCTTGTGGCACTTTATATCCAAGCGGTGCAACGTATAGTTAACGACGCGGACCTTGAAAAATTACGTCGGTTCGCACGCGGTATCGTGCACTATAACTATGTATACATACGAGGCAACTGCATTATCTCATTATGCCGATTCGCGAGTGTATACGCGTTGAAATCGTTACATACTACACACTGCAGTTACAATATAATGGCGATCGAGCGGCCACCTTTCGGTTGCTTTACAAACCGACGACGACGACGATTCGTCATCGTGCGCTGGTGTATTATTAATTGCATTACGACAAATCTCTTACCGAGCGCGCGGGCAAATTTTAATTGTGCTATGTAAACACATACACACACATAAATGAGCACGCGGGCTGATAATTACGTTTGAGAATTCTATACTACGCGACGTGTTGTAATAAATAGCAATATTACGCGCACATGGAGAGCAGCATGCGTCTATCATTTTTTGCAGACAACGAAGATATATGTAACGTCTGCAATTGACAAAACATTATTTAGCTCCGAAGATAGCTTCTAGTGCAGCTCTTTTTTCCTCTAAAATTATGTATTTTATTAATTCATGCAAGAGAACGAGTACACAATAAAAATCGGTTCGATCGAGGATTTGGATATTGCGTGACTTAGAGTTTGATTGCTCTAGGTGTTAGAAATCAAAGGATCAAGATGGATTATTGAGGACTTATATAGCTGATGTTTTGTTTTTTGTCTATTCTTTTTTTTTTCATGCATTTAGACTCATTTTTAATAAGTTTAATCGAGTTATGTACAACATCTATTTTAGCAAAAAATAAATGATATTTAAGTATAAGAAAGATATTCAAATTAATAAAATTCATGCATTATTTTTAGGTGCGTCGACGACGTACTACGACATCGATGCAAGCTTCATACTTTAGCTAAAAATAAATACATATAATATGTACATCAAAAAACGAAAGTAATTACATTCACTTATGTGAGAAAATATTTGCCTTACTTGCTAATGAAAGTTATTTTTACATTCGTATTATTTATTCGTTATTAAATATACTACCTAAAGAAATTTTAATATATTTTAGGTAAAGATGTATTGTAAACTATTGGATCACTGGTTCATGTATAGCCTATTATCGTATCATTTTTTTCTTTCATTCGACCTACTAAGCAAAAATCATGCATAAAACTCGCTTTTCTCTCATTTCAGGCAATTTTTTCTTCCTATAATTCAATAAATATCTACTTAATTAATAATGATAATTTTTTTCTTTACAAACGAGCAATTATTTACAAAAAATAATTTTCTTTAAGGCTCGTTCTTATAATTATTATTGCAAGAAAACAAAATTGTCTCAACGTCCGATCGAATGTGTAAGTTTTGTCCCTCGAGCGAGCTTTGGATACTTTGCTGGAAACTTTTCTCTCTCTCTTATCACGGGTAAACACGAGCTCTTTTGAGTATCACAATGTACATCAATTATAAATCTATGACAATTACAAGTAAAAAAATATCGCTATTGCACATCTTTACACATGATGATTTTTTACGACGTGAAAATAATAACCGATACGCGCGCGGCGCGCAGAGGTCGTACGTATTAACGAATCGCTCACCGTGTATGCGAAGGTACATTTAAGGGGAAGGAAAATCGCTTCAATTGGCATTTAAACGCGACGACGACGCTTGAACTTGCTATGTAACGATGGCCCGTGCACGGATAGCACGGCAAAAGTTTAAAACTGCAGCTGCTGCTGATGCACGACGCGGCCTTTGCTCGTCCCAGATGCACGAGAAGCAGAGTCGACACGGAGGGATTTGGCGATTTTACATTTATCGATTTTGCACATTACGATGAAAGGGGACACAAAAAAATAATGAAGAACAGTTACGACGGCCGTACGCGGATTAGACTCTTTTCTTTTGTTTTTTTTTCTCTCTTAAAAAACAAAAAAACGCAACAACGAACGGAAACAAGTAGGGGAACAGAAAAAAAAAACAAACAATAACAACGAAGTATTGACAAGAGCACAACACAACAATCGAGCGCCGTTTTCATCCATTACACGCTTATACGATAAAAAATATAATAATAATAATATGTACATCTACACTTGTCCGTTTGACTAGATGAATCGCTATGATATACACCGGCCGCGCGTGATACACGTGATTCGGTATAGATGCTCTTTCTAAGGTTGTACTCTCGATCGATATAACCCTTATTTCGTTTCGAAATTATTACGCTCGATGATAAATAATAAATGACGAATGTACGCGCGAATATGAAAAATACTCGATACATTGATCCTACAGCAGGCCACGAGATCAATTTCTTTTCGATTATATATATTAAATATATAAATGTAATAGTAATAATTATTATGCACGTAAAAAAGTTTTTTAAGGAACATCTCCTCAAAAACGTTGATTAATCGTTACTATGTATAGTTTTGGTATAAGCATCGGCCAGCGATTTTTATACGTCGATTATGTTTTTTTTCTCGTTAAGATTGACTCGTCAAAGTAATGCTTGAAAACTTTTTTTTGTTCGCCAACGAATCCTTATTACGCGTCTCTCGAACACAGCTCGAGGAACATTATCTGAAACAGAGAGTAAAGAGCAAAATGATAATTCGTATTCTCATATTGTCTTCGATTGGTTTGTCCGATACCAACCTCACCCGATGAATCCCGCCGCCAGCGAGATAATCAGCGCCAGGATCCCCGTGAGGATCTGGCCCGAGGTGGAGACGACGCCCGCGGCCTGAGGCCCGGCGTCGTTCGTCAGGGCGCCGCCCGCCCGGTCCATGGCCCCGTGCTCGAAGCTGTCCTCCGCGGTGAGCTTGTCCCCGTACTTGTCCAGCAAGTCGAGGATCAGGCCGTTGGACCAGCCGAAGCCGAGCTGCACCTCGTACTCGCCGCCGCTGCCGTGGCCACCGGAGACCGTGGCGTCGTACTGTGAGACGATTGAAAAAAAAAAAAAAAAAAAACAAAAAATTAAAATCAACGTTTTCTACTGGAGTAAAAGAAAAATAAAAAAATAAGATGCAAACCTTTTCGAACATGCTGTTTGTCTCGTTGAACGCCTTGTAATTGCTGCGCACCCATCTCTGGCTGATCTCGTAGGCCAGCCTCTGGGCCCACGGATCGCTGGTCTTGTCCAGCGCCATGATGAACAGGTACTGGAGCGGTGGCCACGCGTTCGGGTAGTCCCACTGCTCGCCCGAGTGCTCCAACGTCGTCGGTATGCCACCCTGATTCATCATTATCTGACTCTTCTCCAGGTACTTGAGCACCTTGGAGACGTGATCGTCCCTCCTGGCTGGATCGTAACAACCCACCCACAGGGGCATGATGTTGGTCGGGTAGAAGTAGTCGCGCTTGACCTCGTTGATGATGTCGTAGTCGAGCCAGGCGCCGACCTCGTCGTGCCACAGCACCGCGGTGATGGCCTCCTGCCACTCTCGGGCTCGCTTCTCGTACTTGTCCGCCTGGCTCTCGTTGCCGAATTGCCGATTGTACTGGGCCAGCAGCACGGCGTTGCGATAGATGAGGGAGTTGAGATCGACGGGTATGATGGAGCGAGTCTTGAGATTGGTGAGGTTGCCCTTGTTGCTGCCGTCCGGATGGATGAACCAGCGACTGGAGAAGTCCCAGCCGGTCTCAGCGGCGGTCTTCAGCTCCGACCAGTAGTTCTCCTTCTCCTCCGAAGTGCGGAAGCTCTGACTGGTCAATACGTCCTCTCTACATAAAAAAAGTTGACGATTCAATTGTTTGGCCTCGGTCGCTCGAGCTTTTTCGATGACTTACCTGTAGGACTCGGGCCTGGGACCGTACGAGCTCTCGTGATATCGCGCCAGAAGGTACTTCTGGCCGTCCTTCTCGACCTCGACCGTCCGCTTGGTCATCCAGAAATCGAACTCCTTCTCGAGCAGCCACAGATTGTCCTCCAACCATTTGTAATCGTTGGTGTGGCGCAGGTACTCGTGCACCATGGGGGTGAGCATCGGTGGCTGCGATCGCTCCAAATAGTAGATCCTGCCCCCGTTGGGTATGAAGCCGTAGCGCTCGACGATCGAGACGAAGTTCGACAGCATGCCCTTGACCGTGGCCGTCATCTCGGACAGCAGCAGACCCTTGACGATCCAGTACGAGTCCCAGTAGTAGAACTCGCGGAAGCGACCGCCCGGCACTATCACCGGATTCGGCACGTAGATGATGCTGTAGAGGTCGGCGTTGTCCTTGACGTCGTCGCGCATCTTCTTGCCCAGCATCTTCCAGATGTGATTGAGATCGCTGCCGAACTTGCGCAGCTGCGGATCCAGGACCTTCTTGAGGAACTTGGGCTCGGCCACCCAGTCCTCCGGGTCGAAGCTGGCGAACTCCGAGCCGGCGGGCTCGAAGGTCTCGTTGACGAATCGCTCGATCTGCGACCTCGTCGGGGCGTTGTCGGTGCGATTCATGAACTCCTTGAACAGGGCCAGAGTCATGGGGGTGGGGTGGCGCATCTTCATGTCGACGAAGGTCTTGGAGTCGGGATAGATGGAGGCCATCTGCACCGTGTGTAGCAGCTCCCCGTGACAGTAGATCTCACTGCGAACGACCGAAACACAGAGCCGCGGAACGTTAGATTTTATATCGTATTATGTTCGTATAAGCCAAGGGTCTTTTGAGCCAAGATGAGTAAGAGAGACACAATCATTCGTATGGTTTAGCGGCTTTTATTTTTAGCTCGCTATAAGCGTCTCTCTCTCTCACTCGCCCATCGTTGTTATATATCATATTAATATGCAAGCGTCCGAGCAGGCGCAGACACGCGCGACAAGAGTGAGCTGTCTCCTATCACGTGCTTCACCCATTATCGCGCGTGCTTAGCGATCAGCCTTTTGATCGTTCGTCATAAACGAAAGTGCGACTCGTGATAACGGTATCGTAAGGAATAAAGAATTCCTTTGTCCAAATCTCGTATTGCATCGATATGGATCGAACGCTTGATTCTAAGACACGCCTTGAGATTCGGATAACACGATCCTTTTTTTCTATCTTTCTGTCGTCTTTCTGAGTCACCGCTGCCGATCACTTCGTATGCGCGTTGATAATGTATTACGTGTTACCACGAATTAGCTCGACAAAAGCTCGCCGTATTTCAAAAGCTGCGTAACCACTCGTTGCGGTATACATGAGGTGATCGATCTCGGAAGTTTATATAAATCAATCTTTTGCGCCAGACGACGCATCGACTAATCGACCGACGACCGACGGTGACGCATTTTTCTTTCTACAGTGGTATACTGCAGACGAAAATTGAGGAGGAAGCGAGTACACGATGACGACTTGACTCGCTCGAGCTCGCGAGAGAGCTTGAATATTACGTCAATATGGATATTATCTACTTGTATTTCACCGGCGTAATCGCTGCTGCTTAAATGCCGCCGCCGTCGCCACCGCTGCAGACGACTACGATGATGTCCAGTAGTAGAAGCGCAATTGTGCAGTTATTGAAAAGAACGAGTTTGTTTTATATGTACTACTGGCGATTCTCGAGTGTATGTGTGGCGCACCGAGTACGATAAAGCGATTGAAGAAATCCAGAAAAAATTCAAGCTCGTACCGATAGATTACTTGATACAAAAAAAAATACATTTTCATTAAAAAGTCAAACAGGTGATCGAGTATTACAACATAATGGGCGACGCGAGGTCGCGTGAGTTTAACGCACAAAGCTGGACGAAAAATGTTAATAATTGGATCGGCGTCTATTCTCTCTATGGAATGTTTGTTTAGACGAGTTATCTCAGGAAATAAGCCATGTAGTTATGTGCAAGTCGACTATACAGGATGCTAATTGGAGTGGTATAGCCGCGGATACATCAGTTGCAAGACATTACAAATTGAAGACAATTCTCTTGTGTGGCAAAAAGTCACATACAACTTGCCTCTCTGTGTACAGTGTATACACTCGGCGGCCCGCCCACGCCGACGACGACCTTGATACATTACGCGCGTTGGAGCGTATCGCGTGTGTGCGTTGGCGGGAAAAAAAAGGAACGAAATGAAAATTTTTCGGAACTGCGCCAAAACGAGAGAGATAGAGAGAGAGAGAGAGAAAAAAAAAAAGAGAAGCTCCAGTTATTGTGTTGTAATTTTTAAAAATTTTTTTCAACAGTCGCACTCGTGTTTAGCAATAACGTCGAAGGATTGTCTTATCTGTGCGTATACGTGCATCGCGCAGGTAGGTACGTTGTAATAACGCGAAATTGCGCATAGTTCGATTTACAATACGCGGAAATCTTGACGACTCGGCGGCGCGTCATCGGTGGTAATAATTTTTTCCTTTTTTTTTCGTTTCGTTTCGTTACATTTACGCGCGCGTTCCTCTTTTTGTTTTACGATTGTTTAACCAAATTAATAAATAACTTGCCGCGCTGTCGCGGACGCGTTCAAAGCAACAGTGAAAAATTTGCTTTTGCAATTAATAGATACGAGTCGCGAGAGCTGATGCCTGACATAACGCACGTAAGTGAGTAAAAAAAGGCAAAAATTAAAAAAAAATAACTCCGAATTCCGATGTATATGAAGAGGCAACAGCGCGACGAGCCACGCGCATTGTTTCCAATCATTTTTCGACGGACAGACACACATACACAATTTGGCTAATCATTCTCGTTCGTTAAGCTTTGCTAGTCGCGTAAAAACAAAAAAAAAGAAGGCAGTAACCGACAATTATTTCACATACCGGGCACGCGAGGTTTTTGCGCTCTCGCGAGCCATCGGAACGCTGAAAAATATATTTACTCTTCGTGAGAGAGCAACGGATGCCAAACGAAACAAGGATATATTTATGGACACGAATGGAAATTTTGGGGTAAAAGGCGTACTTTACGAAAAATGTATCGACGTCTGGTTCAACGACCACCTTCGATCTTCGAATAAAAAAAAAAAAACAGAGATATAGAGAAAGAAGGAAGAGCGAGACACGATTGGCATTTTTTAAGAACGTACAAAACAAAATGTTGGAAATAAAGAGCGAAGAATTATACAATTGTTATTGTATATACGAGTCGCACTTTCGTATTTATCGAATCGAATACGTCATCGAAGCCAAAAAGAAAAAAAAGAACAAAACAAACGAAAAAAACAAGCAAACAAAAGCAAAAAAAAAATAAATAAATTAAAAAATCGTGTCTCGAACTTACCTGGTGCAGGGAAAAGGCTTGTGATGGACGTTAACATCTTGATTGGACTCGCCGAGCGTGCAGGCGATCGACACCAGCACGAGCAATAATCCGGTCCTTCGGTCCATTATTGTGTGTGCTCGAGTATTTGTCTTTATAAAATTAACTAGATACGATTTCGTGTGCGAGCTCGCGCGCACTCCTCTCGTGCTGTGTGTTTGTTTGGAATTAAAAAATACCAGTTGTGCGATCACCTCGCACCTTCTAGGAACTTCTCTCTCCTTCTCTGCTCTCTGGGTTTACACCTAGATCGATGGAATAAAAAGAGCACATCCTTTGCTTCATTGCGGCATATATATAATTTTTATTTATCTTCTATTTTTTCGCGCGAAGTATAATTGTATGCACAAATAATATTCGAGATATTTTTTGAATTATTTTTTTTTTTCATGTTTGTCTACACTGGCTATACGAGCTCCGTCCTTCTTTCTCTCTATCTCTCCCTGTGTACCAATTATTTGCGTGGTGTTATGCCACAAATATATTTTTTTTTTTGTTTTTTTTTTTTGCGGGAGTCAATAAACGAGAACGCGATCTCGGTATTTTGCGAACATTCCGATGCGTATATAATTTTTTTGGCAAATAATGTACGTAACAATGTGTATAAATCGTGTACTCACTAGTTGGTGGGTGGCTTCAGGTGAGGACTCTCGGTCTTGCGGAGCCTACGCGGCGGTTTCAACTCCAACCATAGATTAGCCGCATCTTCTCTGTAAAAAGCACAATTGAAAAAAATAATTATTACTCAATTGTTTTAAAAACGGCCTTCAAACGTAAATTTTCATAAGTATAAATAAGCACGTATAAACAATCGAACGCAATTATTATCTCACAGATCGACAAATTCATCATCATCTCTCGCCGTGTCTAAACGGAACGAGGCATCGTAAAAGACACATTTAATGCACATACAAATAATTTATGATTCTTTGTTAATGCGAGTAATATAAAACACTTGTGTGTGTGTGGTGTGAGTCTCTCCTCTCGTCGAGGTGACTGACACCGATAATCCTCAACCGTTTGATTTTCCTTCGTCCAATAAATTGAACATTTTTTTTGGCTCAAATAATAACAAATTTTTCTCCTGACTCAGCTGATTTTTGGTTTATTTTTTTTTCCCTCTCTTCCTAAGCATACGATAACAATTTTCCGGCAAACTGCTTATTTTTCTGTCTTCGCGCAGTCGGAGACATATACTTGAGCCTCGCTAGAGTAAATATTTATCATTCGTGCGATTGTGTGTAATTTGCGATGATACAACAATAAACAATTGCATTTCTGCGCTCGTGCCACCGCCGCAGTAAGTAATAAATACATAAAGTTGTGGCGGCGCGCTCCAACATTGAAGTGCGAGAAATTCATATAAATTTCTCGAGATAACTCTATAAGTCGATCTTTCATGCTCGCGCGCGTTTAGTCAAGGAAAAATCTCTCTCTCTCTCTCTCTCTCTCTCATTATTGTAAGCACGTGTCCGGTGTACACGGCATACACGAGACGATGAAAAATATAAGTATAACGAGACTGTTTGGGACTTGGATTTCGATTTCGATGAAATCAATCGTGGAGTTCGTTGCGAGAAAAAAAAAGGAAAACGTGAATCGTTGCAAATTAGAGGTATAGAGAAACGGAGTGCAGTGCACACGGCAAAATTGCGAGACTTTGACGTCAATGTAAGCGCATATAATGAGCCCAAGACTCGTTTGCATGAAAACTGACAACTGTAATTAATTGTTTCTTTTTTTTTATCTCAAAAGGCGCAAAGCGACTGTATTTCGAGGACTCGATCGTAAGGTATATATCGATACATCGTGGTTTTGTAAAATCCACTGCACAGTAGCCGAGCTATAATCACAGCTACTCGATCGCAGTGCGGCGGCCGCGCGGCTGTTTGATTGTCTCTCTCACAATCCCAAGTGCACGACCGTGATGAATGACATTGCAGGTACCTGCAATAATGTTCAAGTCCCTCCCTCCCGCGTGTTGGATGCAACAAAAAAAAAAGAAAAAGAAGTTGAGAAATTCCCAAACGATACCTTACGATGGGGAGTTTACAAAATCTCGCTCTCGAAATATTATAAGTTGTTAGATTTTGCGATCTCGCAGTAAGCACACACACGCATACACACACGCATTGCAATCTGGAAAATCCTAATGCATATCTGGCACAACTGTCAATTATGAACGTCAGCTGATATATATGTGTATTATTATTATATGCATGTATATAATACGTGTATACGTGTAAAGTCACGGTGTGTACACTTGGCGCTCGTTTATTTTTTGCTCGGAATCTAATTTTTTCCACTTCAATACAGACACACACATACACACGCAAACACTTGTTTTAATATTTTTCTCCTTACATTATCTTCGACGTCGGGCGGCAAAAAAAATTTCGTTCGACTCAACCTTGGTAAACAGCACGAGTAGCTGTGTGTCTGATCGTCGTCGTCGTCGCCGTCGTCGTACGCTCGTCATTTCTGCGACTGCAACCGCGGCGGTGGCTACTGCATATACACGATCGTCGCGACGGCCGCGACCGGAAGTAGGTGCGACGGAATTGTGTGTACGATAGTCGCTGGCTGCGGCCGCGCCGATCGACCGATTTTAACGACGACGTAACGATCGCGACGACGAAAAAAAGAAGCGAAAAAAAAAAACAATAACTTATCGCGACGCGCACCCATACGATGATATCGATAAAGGGAAAAACCAAGAGCTTTCACACGGCGCAATAGACTCATTCCACTCGTCATTCAAGACGATCGTGCGCTGATTTTTTTTAATATTTATTTTTTACTTTCGTGCGAAAAACCTCGCTAGGAGTGTTTGCACCTGTGTCTGTGTGCGCGTGTGACGTATGCAGCAGAACTATGCGCCGCGACGACGATCGCTTTTGTTTTCAAAGTGATTAGAGATAAGAAGGTATACGCACTTGTTAATTGAGACGATACTTTGCGGCGGCTACGACGACGACGACGGCGGCACCGATTTTCGGAAAGCTCGCCTCGTGTCTCGTTACAATTAACGCTTATTTGACGCGCGGCGCGGCCAATGGACATAGCAAACATCGATATACATTATACTTGGTACGTCTCTCTCGAGGACGTTTTTACCTTCTCGCGCAATTACGTACCCGCTAGAAAAAAAATGATGGATCTATCGTTCGGTCGAGAGTCGGAAATCGTGCTCGATCGTTTTGAGCTCACCCAGTGGCAGGTTGGTATTCGCGGATAAAATCAACGTTGGACACACCGAACCGACCGACGAAACATTGTATAACGTGCAAGTATAGTACTGGTGCGAGAAAATCATTGTTTTAATGCCACATTATTTTGTTGCATAATCCCTCCCGCGCGCGAGAGAGGCAAAAGCCTAGGCTACTGCTGTTCGACCAACTACACTTCATCACTGTATACAGTTCTCTCGTTCTCTCTCTCTCTCTCTCTCATGCAATACCGCGACGTTTATTTTATAATTGTAATGACGATATACACGGACACATAGACACGATGCACTAGTTGTAGGACGGACAGAGCCAAGCTCGTGGCGCGCAGAAATTATATTATCGTGGCTGATCACGAACGGCGGCGATTATTTCTTCTCGCTTCTTCTTTCATACTTTATAATACTTCGCGCTCGATGGAAAAATTTCCTGAAAGTCAATTTGTAAAAAAAAAAAAAAACAAGATAATTATAATAACAACGGCGTTAAATAATATATTTCCGCCGTTACACACAGAGTCCGCGATTCTTGCTAAAGGCTTAGGCGTGTAGTGGTCAGAATGCGCGCGATACCGATCTTGGAAACTCGCGAGCGCGAGCTGCGGCGCGTCATGTGCTGCTGCTGCTGCAATGCAGCAGGCTATTGTGTACGCCCGGAGATTAGTAAAATTCGGCGATGATCGTTAATGTATAACGAATTACGGTACGTTTTTTGAACGTTCCTACTGCGTTGTACACATTCAGAAACGTAATTTAGGGCCGTACATTTAAAAGTTGATGGAAGGTTCTACAAACTTTTTTTAAACTTTTTTCTGAAACGTTCCAAGGTTTCAAATTCAACGTTTCAGTAACGCTATGAAAACGTATCGTGCTATTAGGGTATTGACACACGATATTAACGGTCGCGATCGGTTTTTACGATATTATATACACGGGTTCGCGCGAGGAAGTGTGTTAAGGTTGTGTACGTCAGGATGTAGAAAATCATAATTAATAACAAAAAAAAAAGAGAGAAGAACGATTGAATTGGTTCGAACTATCGAAATCGATCTTTCGTTTAATGTTAAGTATAATCATGTGTGTGTTGCGTGTTTGTGTCAAATATATACCTGATAGAGAAGCTGCGCTCGCGCAGGCAGGATAACGAAAACGTACGAATCGGCAAGCCCAATCTTACAGCGAGGACTACTCGTGCGCCGAGCGAGTACCACACGAGGAACGTCGTGATAGCGGATTCGCGATATATAGCCGCACATATATGAATGAAACGCGCTTATACATATATGTAATACACTTGACAGCTGTCACGGACCGACGACTGCTGCCGCTTTTGCCTGCTGCCTACCGCTGCGCTCGCGAAGATCGGACTGCTGAATCGGCGCGCTTTAATAATAATACACACGTATATGACTGAATATACTCACCTCCCTCGCGCGCCTCGCATATAAACACACACATACACACACACATACACACACACTCGCACAATCACGGCTTGATATTTGCTCTTCGCGACTCCGGATTTGATATAGTGGGGATTCGGTGTATAATGCAGCGGTTAGATATGATTATAATATTCGCCCAAGTCGCTCTGTGCGCATAGGTGCGCTTTTCTCTCTCTCTCTCTCTCTCTCTTCGTATTAAGTTTTAGTCGCAGTCTCTACACGCCGTATCGACAACGAGCTCTCTCGAATAGAATCGAAGATCCATTTTTGAAAAAGACACACGATCATCGCGCGTAGATGCAACTATTGATAAAAAAATGAATTTTTTCCTTCTTTTTTTTTTTTTAAAGCGCAGCGTAATGTATTGTAATAATTTACGGGGTCAAGGATTCACAGCGGTACATTAGCAAACTACATACACTCGTACACAGAAACGCGCGCGTGTTTAGAATCAACTGAAATCGAGAGTGCGAGCGAGCGAGAGAGAAAAAAATGTTAATGATATAATTAAATTCGTACGTACTACATACACGATGCTCACTGTGAGATAACCGGCAGTATTTACAGACAATAATTTACATGAAAAAGTATAAACACAGCAGAGAATGATGCGTCGAGATCGTTATAGCCCCAGCAGCAGCAGCAGCAGTACACCTGATTGGCTATGTATGTGTTTTAATAGTTCGCTCATTCCACTTTTTAAGCCGAATGACGAAATTACACGAGTCTCGAGAGATGATAGAGTTAAAAAAAATTAAAAAAAAAAAAAAAAAAAAAGAATACAAATTAAGTATAATGATAATCGCACGAATATTGTTCAATTAAGCGGTAGAAATTGATTTGTGTGATACGTAACGCACGCGGCGTAAAATCGGCAAAATTGTCGACGATTTACGCACGCGCTTTATTACCTGCATGATTCTTATTTTATAGCTCGTTTTATGTGTATCGACGAATTGTGGCAACCGCAAACGTATCGCTTAAAGACACTGTCGTTTTTTCGGTTTTAATTTTGGTCGAAGTGCCGAACTTGTAACCG